TGGTCAGGTCGAGACAAAATTTCCAGAGATTTTGCAGCTGGTCATGCTCTTTCAACTGATGTAGCACTCGATATGAATTTCCAAATTCGATTTTTCAGGGATTTTAAGACCAGGCTGCCCCCTTAATCCAATGAATGGTTTCTCTGTTGGGAGGTGGGGAGATCAGGGGCGTCGCAGCCGGACCACTTTTTTTAACACAATGCCCAAAGTGCCCAGAATGCAGGATTTTGCACCCTATTTTCAAAAACTTCCCGGGGGACACCCTTTTCCCCGACCCCCTTCCGGCCGGACCACCTCCAACGGCGGTGCTACGCGCCTGGAGATGCTAACTAAAACGATTGGCAGAACAACATGCTTGGTAAGTCTGTCATGGTTGTGTGAGTACATAGAGAGGCACTAGTTAGGTCGTACTCAATCACCCCGAGACCTTTTTGCCGATTGCCAATCCCCATTATCCTTCATTTCATAGGGTAGTGATGGAAACATGAATCAGAAGCTTCCCACAGTCAGGTAGCTGGAGAGGAAGACTAGGTGTCATCACTGAAGACTAGGTCTCATTACTGACGTCTCGATCCCACGATTGATTTGTCCGGTTTAGGACGCTAACGTGTTGCCCACATCAGTGTTTTGGCCATTTTAATCCAAGCCCCAAAGTCTCAAGAGTGAATAGGTGCAAGAATGAATACTCTCAACAGCGAATACTCTCAACAGAGAATAGTCTCAATAGAAAATGGTCTCGACAGAGAATAGCCTCAACAGCGAATAGGCTATAGCACTGGACTGATCCAGATGACAGAATCCAGCAACGCAAGCACACACTTACCTCCACCTTGACGTCTTGGGCATGATGTATTTCGGAGTGGCCGTTTGCATCATTGAGTACTGAACATCTAGATTCCCTTTGGTATCACATGTCTTCAAAGTCTGTATGAAAAGAACATGTAGCCGGTAGCTTGTCAACTCAAAGAAGTCAACTCAATGAAATAGTGGTAGCGACTTTCGCGGTAATTATAAGAAAGTCTGTTGCTCCTAACACTGGAAGTTGCGCTTTTCCGCAGGCTTGACTTCACACTGGTCCGACTCATGACTGCCATCCAGAGCACACAAGGCACTCACCAAACCTTCGACTCGGCAAACCTGCTTTGGCTGCGTACTGTAACTTGAAGTGACAAACTTTCTGTTGTCCCTGCCCTTTTGGCACGTGTGTGCCCCTTTTGGCACGTTGGTGCGGACCGCGCGCGGACTGCGCCGGTTGGAGATTATCGTACCTGTTCTTGTTGTTGTGCGCATGCTTGCATGCTTATCGTGCGCATCCTGGTTGTTTTGGGTGCCTTCTTCCTGAGACTCTCCTTGGAACAACAATGATTATCTGTCCTCTGAGTGTGGCGTACGTGTGATGGATGTAGAAGAGAGTAGTCGGAAGGGCTATCGTGCGAGGGAATAAAACCCCCCGACGACAATTGGCGCCCAGCTGTTCTTGTTGTTGTGCGCATGCTTGCATGCTTATCGTGCGCATCCTGGTTGTTTTGGGTGCCTTCTTCCTGAGACTCTCCTTGGAACAACAATGATTATCTGTCCTCTGAGTGTGGCGTACGTGTGATGGATGTAGAAGAGAGTAGTCGGAAGGGCTATCGTGCGAGGGATTAAAACCCCCCGACGACATTTCGCTGCAGATTAAATTTCGCTACTTTCGTGACCAATACACATTCGCGGCTATAAATCACCGCAACCTGCTCTGTGTATTGATGGTGCAAGTTTCTCATTGTGAACCAGCGCAATTCTTGAAAACGCAAAATCAGCGTACTGCAAAAGTTCATCGCTTTACATATCGCTTTACATGCCTGAGATCCCAGATGCATGTTTCAGCCCCCCCCCCCCCCCCCCCCTCGGATGCCAAGGCTAGCTCACCTGCCACTAAGGCTGTTGACCAGCCAGTACTGGATTGATAATAATAGCAGCCCGTCTTTATGTCATCCTGGGCTGGAGCTGCACAATAGTCAGGGCCTAAGTTGACCTTCCCAACTTGGGACCCCAGCCATGTACTATAGAATGCCACACATCCACTGAGCACAGACTCACCACATATCACTTACCACCCTTTTCAGTCAGGTAAGGAACACACCAAAGAACCAGTTAGGCCCGTATAGTGTACAAGACTCGAGGACGATAGCAAAAACAAGCCGCTACGGCACTCAGGAGTCCCATCTTATAATTAAGATGGGCTCCAAAGTGAGGTTCTATTCCCACGCTGTGATGCTAGCACATGATCAGGATTGATCCAACTGTTTTGCCCTGACCTATCCTGACCTATCAATCCTGATGCTGGCCCAGTGTCCTAATCTTGGTTCATTTTCAAATGCAGCATAGGGATCGATCCAATTCATAAGAGCGTTGATGATGGACATAATCTATACATCTTTGTGCTTACCGTCTCGGAGATTTCAAAGAGGAAGTCCAGCATGAAGAGCAGGCCTCTGTAGTGGGGCTGTAGGCTGCAAAGGGCAAGATGTTCAAACAGTTGCACAAGCAAAATGCTGATCAGATGTGTGCATCCTAGTTTTAAAATAGGCAGAAGACACCATAAGAGGAAGGAGGATATAAAATTACATTTTCAGTTCTTGTAAGTTAGTCTTCTGGGCGCTAAGTGGAATTTTGTCCCAGAAATCTAGAAACACTCCCTTTTTTTCTTACACTGCAGATCAAATTCACGTACTTCACCAAAGTTGCGTAAGTGTGCCCTGCAATACAGGAATTGTGTGGGAAATTTCACTGAACGCGCCATTTCGTTCGCATGAAAATTTAACTCTAAGAACGTAGACCCTTCCGGACGCTAAGTCGAACGGTCTCGGTCTGAGCAGACTGCGATACGGCATTAGGGAGATGCGTACACTGATCACCAAACCAGGGTAGTGCCCCATGTACCTGAGAAACTCCAGTGCAGTGACACAGCATCCCTTATGCCTCGCCAAATTGCGACACTGCCAGCCTTGGTTTCCGGTGGCCAGACAATGGCTTCTTCAATGAACGCAATAGCTTCCTCCTTATATTCAGGCTCCTCATAGCCATCAATCAAACTCTGGAACTCCTGAGTGGTGGATTGCCGCTCCCTTGTGAAAACTAAAACATCAACGCAGGAACCACAATGAAACTGGGTGCCTTCTCCAGAATCTGGTGAAGGCCCCGGCACTGAGTGTCTCCTTGCCACCCACCCCGTAGTAGGCCAAGGCCGTTCAGAATGCAAGGTCAAGAACAGGAAACCCAACACACAGATGTTGAAACAAAACAAACACTAGAGCTACTACTACATGACTGCACATGTAGACGAACTGTACAGCTATGTGGCAGGATGCAGTGAACTGTACAGCTATGTGGCAGGATGCAGTGAACTGTACAGCTATGTGGCAGGATGCAGTGTACTGTACAGCTATGTGGCAGGATGCAGTGAACTGTACAGCTATGTGGCAGGATGCAGTGAACTGTACAGCTGTGTGGTAGGATGCAGTGTACTGTACAGCTATGTGGCAGGATGCAGCAATCACTGCATTCTCTGCGAACCCTAGATCTACTGGCATAGGACAACTGTTCCCGTCACTATGCCAAGTGAACTAATTTTGGCTACGGATATATCGATAGGACATAACGTGACGTATAGACATCACTGCAATTGAGTACTCAAATGCGGGGGGGGGGGGGGGGGGACTGCATTGATACAGTGACAAGTGTGTACACACACTACAGGTGTGCCAGTGCAATGTTGAGAACAGGGCGGGCGAACAAGCGATCGTTTCTTTTGCACATGCATTACTGTTTCATGAGTGTCCCCATATAGGGGGCAGTTGTGATTACAGAGTCCGACATGCTCAACACTGAAACCAGTTGAGACTGGAGAGTAAACTGGACTGGGTTGTTAGGAATATGGAAGGGCACCCAAGGCATCCACAGGGGCAGGCTCTTCTCTGCTGGTTAAGAACACTCCACAACAGCAAAAAAAGTGTTCTAGATTTCACGGTGATGCTCAACCTGAAGCCTGCTTCGAGCTCACCTTAGTGGGTTGCAGCCGTGCATCTTTCGCGGATCTATGTCTAGGTCAGTGTTTTCGCTGGCTGTGTCGAAAAGTCGTGTGATATCGTGCATCAGATGGTACTCACTTGCAAGGTACTGTACTGCCGGCTGGAGCAGAGCAAGGAACAAACAAGAGCAAGAAAACTGTCACCTGGTAGGTGAAGTTAGGGCTGCTGGCAGCAGCAGCAGCAGCAGCAGCAGGCATAGCACAGAACAGGGCATAAAGGTCAGGTTAGACTGGGGTGTCATAGATATCTCACAGTGTACATATCCTCCTTCAGCTGTCGGAATGTGGACATTTTCTTCAGGACACTTCCGATTGTCCAGCCAAAATCGAACAGATGATCTCTCACATCCAGCCGGTTGATCCATAGCTGGATCACCAAGTGCACCACAAAGTAAGTCTAGACATACAACACAAACCAGAGAAAAAGAAAAAGAAGAAGAGAGAGAGAGAGAGAGAGAGAGAGAGAGAGAGAGAGAGAGAGAGAGAGAGAGAGAGGAGGGAAAGAGAGAGAGAGAGAGAAGGAGAGAGAAGGAGAGAGAAGGAGAGAGAGAGAGAAGGAGAGAGAGGAGAGAGAAGGAGAGAGAAGGAGAGAGAGAGGAGAGAGAGAGGAGAGAGAGAGAGAGGAGAGAGAGAAGGAGAGAGAGAGGAGAGAGAGAAGGAGAGAGAGAAGGAGAGAGAGAGAAGGAGAGAGAGAGAAGGAGAGAGAGAAGGAGAGAGAAGGAGAGAGAGGAGAGAGAGCACTGAGACGGTTTCATAAGCCCAACCCGCACTACATGCATTTCAGTGCCAGTCTCAACTTCTATATAGGGGCATATCTCTGTTCAATACATTGGAAAGGTGGTGTGTGGTACAATTCATTGGAAAGATTCAAAGACATTGTGCGGTTGCCGTGGTGAAGTTAGCTGCATGACGGGCCGTGACACTTAATTGTAATGAATCCTAGACTCGGGTAAAACCACGATCATGTAGGCTTCTGCATTTTATGCTGAAATAAAACAAAGTCTTTACTATAAAACAAAGTCTGAAAAATAGATCATCCACGAGCATAGTACAGCAGCCTGTTCCTAATCCACCTACCCCTCGTTCTTGTAGCCAGGCTGATCCTCATCCCTTGCAAAAACTAGGGCTTTTCCCGCTCCTTGGCATTTTGTTACTTGTCCTCCTATGGTGTCTTGTCAGGAGCATTATTTTGTTACTTGTCCTCCTATGGAGTCTTGTCAGGAGCATTATTTTGTTACTTGTCCTCCTATGGTGTCTTGTCAGGAGCATTATTTTGTTACTTGTCCTCCTATGGAGTCTTGTCAGGAGCATTATTTTGTTACTTGTCCTCCTATGGAGTCTTGTCAGGAGCATTATTTTGTTACTTTTCCTCCTATGGAGTCTTGTCAGGAGCATTATTTTGTTACTTGTCCTCCTATGGAGTCTTGTCAGGAGCATTATTTTGTTACTTGTCCTCCTATGGAGTCTTGTCAGGAGCATTATTTTGTTACTTGTCCTCCTATGGAGTCTTGTCAGGAGCATTATTTTGTTACTTGTCCTCCTATGGAGTCTTGTCAGGAGCATTATTTTGTTACTTGTCCTCCTATGGAGTCTTGTCAGGATTTCAATATTTTGTTACCCGTACAAGTGGTCCTCTATAGTATCTTTTTGTTTTTAAAGGGGAAGTTAAGCCAAAAATCAAATTTCATCAGTTGCAGTCTTCGGGATGCTAAGTCGAATGGTCCTGGTCCGAGAAAGCCGAAACTCTCCCTTCCTCCTTCATTTCCAATCGAACTCGTGCACTTCCACCGAAACTGGGTGACTGGGCCCTACTAGATGGGGATTTGTATGCAAAATGTCACTAAAAGCGCCATTTCGTTCTTAGTAAAGCACGGATGACCGCGATTGGCCCATATGTTGTAGTCTTTTGGACGCTGAGTCGACTGGTTTTGGTTCGAGAATGCTCCGATGCAGCGTTCGGCCTTTATTCCCAATCGAACATGGTTGAGTAAGCGGTCACGTGCTTCTGCGTATACCAGTCGCCTAGTCACCGCGCCAACAGGCGACAACTTTCACACCAAGGTTAAACTCGAGTTCAACTCGAGTGACAGGAATGCACCCAAACAAGCTGTAAGTTGTACCCTGGGCACGGTGACCAGGTGACTGGTGTATGCAGGAGCACGTGACTGCTTGTTCAACCATGTTCGATTGGGAATAAGGGCCGAACGCTGCATCGGAGCATTCTCGAACCAAAACCAGTTGACTCAGCGTCCAAAAGACTACAACATATGGGCCAATCGCGGTCATCCGTGCTTTTATAAGGACGACCAGGTGACTGGTGTATGCAGGAGCACGTGACTGCTTGTTCAACCATGTTCGATTGGGAATAAGGGCCGAACGCTGCATCGGAGCATTCTCGGACCAAAACCAGTTGACTCAGCGTCCAAAAGACTACAACATATGGGCCAATCGCGGTCATCCGTGCTTTTATAAGGACGAAATGCCGTTTTTAGTAACATTTTGCATACAAATCCCCATCGAATAGGGCGCAGTCACCCGGTTTCGGTGGAAGTGCGCGAGTTCGATTGGGAATAAAGGAGGAAGGGAGAGTCTCACCTTCCTCGGACCCAGACCATTCGCCTCAGCATCCCGAAGACTACAACTGGTGAAAAATTGATTTTAGGCTTAACTTCCCCTTTAAAACTCACACTGTGATACTGCAGCGATTTCCATTCTGTAATTGGAGCAGTGCAGCTAGAGGGATAGAAGAAACTTACCACACTAATTGGAGCAGTGCAGCTAGAAGGATATAAGAAACTTACCACACGGGACATGACGTGTAAACGTTCCATGAAGGCACCTTTTTGCTGATTTTCTTTCCTGGCACGTTCTTCCTCCATGGCACGGTCTTTTTCCATGGCACGTATCCTCTCTTCTTCCTTGGCACGTCTCCTGTCTTCTTTCAGGGCACGTCTCTGCTCTTTTCTAAGGAGCAATAATCTCTCACATTCTGCATATGATTCCTCCGTGGAAGGCATCCTTTTCATCATCTGTGCTCTGAAGAAAAGAGCATCTTCTTCTTCTTCTTCTTCTTCTTGTTCATCTTGACGGAACAAGTCTCTCCACTGTTCCCCCCTCAAGAAAGGCACGTCTTCATCTTCACCAGTCATGATCTTTATCCAGTCATGCAGATCACGGCACAGGTTTGTCAATAGCGGCATGAGATATCTAGCATTCTGCAGAAACAAACAACAGCAAGCGACGGTGTCGGTTCGTGGTTTTGGCCAAATTGCAGGCAAAGGGCTGAGAGGGCTAGCGGCTATCTGGCAACTCAGTGCGGATTCATGCAACTGCACCAGACTTTACCTGGCCTACAGTCTCTTTCTGCAGCCTCCTACTGTCAGTACTGAAGACCGGGCCATCAATTTACAGCTGGCTAACCCGGCGCCAGATCAGAACCAGTAGGGGCGTACAACTGTTAGAACTGCCTCATTCTCTTAGCCATGAGCAATAAGTTTTTTAACTGTGGATGGATTAACTTAGGAAATATGACATCATCTAGACAGGGCTAGTTTGCACTTACAATATAGATTACGAGTTCGTGTGATATACTGCAAAGCACTTCTGTCTATCAATCACTCACTACTTTAGCTCCCCCCCCCCCCCCCTCCAAAAACACACACACACACACACACACACAAAATTGCATCGTCAAGTGGTCAATACATGATGTGATAGAAAATGATTTGCAGAACAATGGCTTACGAATCTCAGGCCTGGGCGGTAAAAAAGCCTGTTGACGCAAATCGCAAACGTTTGACACGTTTCTATACCCAGAAGGAACCAGTAGAAAGAAGAACAAGAGACTCAGCATATTCCACATTCACTGGATGCACACAACGAGGCACGTACCAGTGTTAGTAGTAAAGACTGTGTTTTTGAGAGACTTGATGGGCTGGTGATCAATGAAAATTTGTCACCAGTACAAGTGTATTGAAACACACTATGCGGGTCAAACGCTGGGCCCTCGCGTGGCTGGACCATCGTTTTCGATAGCTTTCACGTTCTTGCAGTGGCATTCACAGTGCATGTGGAGTGCTGTGAAATCAAATACAGAACTAGTATAGGCTGCAAGGTAGACGGAAGCCATTCAGTTGGGCTTGTGACAGATTGTGTCCTCTTCTGGGAGTGTTTCGCGGCTAAATACACAATTTTCACAAAACGAAATAATTTCGTTATGGGGTGGGAGGGGGTTGACTAATTTCATTTCAGAAAACATTGATGCATGCACATGGCTGTAGGAGCAGTGACGCACTTGCGTTTTTTTTGTTGCATGACATGTGCAGTGTTGCTCAAGGAGGGGAGGGGAGGGAAAGGGGAGGGAAAGGGGAGGGGAGGGAGGGGAGATGAGCACCACCCTCACCATGTTGTGCTCATTGAAACAGGAGATATCGAACACCTCCTGCCTATACAGTCAGTGTTGACAAGGGGTCAAGCAGTTTATCTCAAGTTCTAAAGAGACACACACACACACACACAATGTGCATTACGTAAATTTGAGATTTCCTCACCATCAAAGTCCAGGTCTTGCATGCCATGGCCCGGAAATAGCTTCTTCGATTGCGCCAAAGAATTCTGAAAAGGCACAAAGACAAAGTCAGCGCTGCCATCAATTACACAACTATTCTTCCTATTGCACTGAAACTACCCGGCCTTTGTGTGACCAAACACGCTCATAGCTTGGAAGTTGGAACTGTTTGTACAGTAAAACCTGGCGTAAGCGACCTCTGGGTTTAGCGACCACCTGCTCTTAATGACCGTTTTTCCATGCACGGACAGTTCTACACAGACACTGTGGGACCTGGTTCTAAAGACCACCTGGCTTTAAAGACCACCTGGTTCTAAAGACCACCTGGCTTTAACGGCCGCTTTTGCTTGCACCGTGGGGTGGTCGCTTAAACCAGGTTTTACTGTAACTGGAACTACATTCAAGGTGCGTATGTAATTATAAAGTCAACTTAGAGGCAGAAATAGCACGATAGAAATCAGCAATAATTGAATAGAGTTTCGGTTGGAGGAAAAAAACTATCACACACATACAGGTTCCTGAAGACCTGCCTCACTACATCCATGTTACCAACGTCCGTCTACATGACAAGGGCAAGCAAGTTTGACCGAATTTTGTAGCCCCCATCGCTCATTCGTTTAAGGACTTGTTTGCTGCGGCTCTAATCACGCGGCTCTAATCACCACTGTATTCAACTTGAAGAGTAATGGTGCGAGAGACCTCGTCAAAATTATATGGCTTCTGTGCTGAGTATGTTAGTGAATCAGTAATATGATCTGTGTATTCATGATGTATGATGTAATGTGTCATGAATACACGAATCATTAAAGGGGAAGTTCACCCTAAAATGAAAACTTCACAACGTATGGCGAAAAATGCACTGATTCCAATGGTGATGGTCCCAGGTTGATCGGGACAGCCGTTCCCGAGTTATATCAGCTTGAAGTTTGCACTAAATTTGGTGACATCGTGATGACGTCATTAAGTTGCCCAGACTAGGCCGGATTTATGACGTCAGAGAGATAGACTTTGTATGGGAGTAGTAGGGAAAAACCAATTTCCTTCTTGTTCATCTGCAACAATGAATTTCATACTAGAATTCTTTACAGTTGGGATACCGGTGGGGTGCCATATGTCCCATACCGCAGTTTGAAAAACATCAGACTTCTTGGGGACAATGGAGAGCCAAAATACTGAAATTTCCCCATTTGCTCCCATGCAAAGTCTATCTCTCTGACGTCACTTATCTGGCTTAGTCTGGGCAAGTTAATGACGTCATCATTGTTGTCACCAAATTTAGTGCAAACTTCAAGCTGGTATAACTTGGAAACGGCTGCTCTAATCAACCTGGGACCTTCACCATTGGAATCATGCATTTTTCGCTATAAGTTGTGAAGTTTTCATTCTAGGGTGAATCTATTTATACAAATTGTGTACACATACACTTTATTGGAGCAGGTTTGAACTTGGGAAAAACACTACCACTGAGTGCCGTCAAGTAAACCATACCACATGACCTAGAGATCGTTCTACGATGTGGAAAGATATGAATTTCCTTTTGCATGTATCATCATCATATTCATGAGTAACTGTTCCTGAGTTTTGCTGTATCCATGAGTATGCTGTATCCATGAGTGTGCTGTATTCATGAGTATGCTGTATTCATGAGTGTGCTGTATTCATGAGTGTGCTGTATTCATGAGTATGCTGTATTCAGAGTCATGAGTATGCTGTATTCATGAGTGTGCTGTATTCATGAGTGTGCTGTAAACCTATCAAGTGTCACTTTCAGTCCGGTATTTTTTTTCTACAAAATCCACATATCTCCAGACATGTGCATGCACAGAGTAGAGTACTTGGAAGTAAGATGTGTTTTCTGCAGCATCACTCTTACCAGTATGAAGGTGCTTGCAGAGTCGACATCATGAAGTATGCCATGGATCATCCACAGAGCCACGCAGTCGCATGCGTCATCTGGTTGAAAGTACACGCCCGGCATGGGCAGCCGTGTTGCCACCTACAACACATTGTTACACGTTTTCCATGCGACATGAGCTCTTATCATTACCATCTCAGATACACATCAGTTGGCATTTTGTAAACAGGACAAAATTGAGTGTTGTTGTGCGTTTTAGATGACTGAAAAAGTCATTACATTATGTATTGTATGTATTCTCCTCCCCTCCCCCTCCCCCAACCCCTCCCCTCCTCTCTGCCCCGACCTGATTTTTGTGGAAACCCGTTTTCATACAGTACTTCAATAGGAGAATCGACTTTTAAAGTAATTTGCATCGAGTTCTCATCTGTAGGAGAGATGAGATGCCTGTACGCCGAGACCAACAGTTCTGTTTGCATGGGAGCCACACTTTGTTCAGCACTTTCACAGGGGATGAGCTTCAACTTGCTATGGTCGTGTCCCAACACTACTGACTGTTCTATCATCGGCTGCATTGAAAAATTGCAGACTTAAAGCCTTTGTCCCACACGCGGCATTTTCAAGGCAGCGCAATGGTAGGACACAGTATTTTTGAATTTTACTTGAGTAACTCAATAGTGTCTGTTGCATTCCTCATCGCAACAGCACTAGGGATGAAGGCCAACACAAACTCTCTTGTCAATCCTACACAACAACCGTTGCAATACAGTTACAAACCACAACAACACCTGATGAAGACAGAAGGAAAAGTGGAGATCGCATGGAACCGAGTAGGCATGTAAACAGCACAGGCACGCAGCAGTTACCGCGGGAGCATGCAAGGTACAGGTGAGTACGCCATTGTGTGAAAAATGAAGCGGGATTAAATTGCATATCAATGCACTATGCCAAATGTATAGGCCAAGTAGGTAGCCCTACAGTATTAACTTCTACCAACAACAGGGAATAGAATCGTGAAACGGAATGAAGGTACAATAGAAGAAGGAGTGTAGGAAGGCTCTGGCATGAACGCCGCCACATGAGTGTAGGAAGGCTCTGGCATGAAAGCCGCCACATGTGCTTCAGTTTGCACAGAACGTAACGCGGTAAAACTCCCCGAATCTAGACAGGTTGAAGCCGAGAACTGCCCGTAACTCAGAACGTACATACTAACTGCATTCAAGTAAAAATGCTTTATGCCTATCAATAGCTTTTTGGGGCCGTTATTCATTTAAAAAGCCAGTTTAATATAGTCATCTACATGGGTCAGAAAGTTGCTCGGCAGTCAGACGAGCCCGGATTAGGGGCTTCCGGAATAGGGAGATTTACACGTACTACTACTAATGCAATTTGTTTTGGGCAGACTGCCATAATTCACATTTGCGCTGTTATTCATTTTACTTCGGAAATCAGTGTTATTTTAAAAATAATTCGTTGACGTGATCGTGAATAGTAAAATGAAATCAAGTTGTGGTGCCCGGTGTTGTGGTGGCCGGTGTTGTGGTGGCCGGTGTTGTGGTGGCCGGTGTTGTGGTGGCCGGTGTTGTGGTGGCCGGTGTTGTGGTGGCCGGTGTTGTGGTGGCCGGTGGCCTGCCCCAAACAAATAACTATCATATGAAGCTTGAGGAAGTGACAAGAGTGCTACAAAATGTTTATTCTCAAGTACCACCTCATCTTGCTCCTTGCTTGGCTCTCCCACCACTCCCATTCAATTCATGTTGGTAGCAATATTCCAAAACAAGCACACTTTCAAATCACTACAGCCTCACAATGGCAGCGCAAATCAAATAATTCTTGCAGATCTCCTGAATGCTGTGCTCGGGCAAAAGAGCGAAACTAGAACGCGAAACCATAAAGTCACAGTTTTTGCCTTTTTAAACCAGCAAAGACCCCCCTCCCCCTCCCCCTCCACCCTCACATAATGGCATACGCTGTTTAAAAGAGCACTAACTGTATATCACCACCTCTCATGCACTTACTTCCAATGCTTGCAACGTTATTTGGTGATCGGATCTCATGGTGCTCCACAGCGGTATTTCTTCTCTAGAGCCCTTGGATCGTTCAGCTACTGACCTCCTCGGTTCGCTAGGGTTCTCGAAAGCCAGTCCTTTAAAGTGGTTCGAAATTTTCTCCAGATCATTTCGAACGCACCTATCGCTCTCCAGAATTTGGCACACGTCGAATGTGGCTGAATGAATCTAAAGAAAAGTGTTCATTCATAAAAAGAACACTCATCAGTTCGAGGATTACCATAATAATTATTATTGAACATCAACCCATTATCCTGAGCTGTTTAACGTCTTTCGTGATGCCTGCGAGTGAGTATCGTAAAAGTTAATGTCACCATCCTTTAGCTAAGGACCTCTAATGTCCAAATTACCGGGCCCTTACAGCCAATGATTTCCTGTACTTGGTCCGGTTCATCGCAATTGTCACTTATCTATCACCACAAAGAACAGGAGCTTTTTTTACCACTGTGTGAAATTTCTAATAGGCGTAGTGAAGGAGCATGATACATGAATACTCTCCGCCACAAGAAAAGAATTTCAGCAATCAAATCTGATGCAGCGAGTCGAAGAAAGGAAGCAAGGCCAGGTTTACAAAAAATGTACAAAAGAAAACAGCGATATCGCGATGGAGCGCGTTCTTGCACTCACGCTTTCACAGGTCCTGAGTTTATCGACTCTGTATCACTCGAGCTGCTATCACTTGAGCTGACATTCGCTGGTGTGTTTAGCTGCTGGTGTACAAAGAGTATCTCTTGCTTTCTCCGGCTGGCGTATGGCAGCGATGGGAAGGAACAATTGTGGCTGTCACTTAGGCGCTTGGAGGAATCAAAAACAACGTTCTTCCGACTGTCACGCTCTCCAGGTCAGGATGTTGATTTCCCCCGCTACAGTTCCGGTCTTCGAGCTGCTGCATGCCCTTGGCTTTCAGCGAAAAGTTCCTCACTTTCCCATCAAAGTCGTACTTATCGCGATGCCACTCTCGCTAGTCGTGACGGTTGTTTTCCTTTCTTGTCTCCTTTGAGCTTGCCATCACAACCTCCCAAACGAAAGTATGTCGCGATCGGACTTTCTTTTACGTGTCAAAATGTGCATGGAAGATACGCGACAATTGCAATGAACCGGACCAAGTACATTCACAGCATCTATATACTAGACTGATTATTAGTGCTTCGTATAGGCAAGCAGGGGCGGATCCAGAGATCTCTACAGGGGGATTCCGGTTGAACCAAAATTGAACAGCCAAAATATTATGGAATCAGATGTGCGGTTGACACTTGTAATAACGACAATCCGATTGTGTTAGTGGGAATCGCATGCTTTTAAAACACACTACGGACATATACATGTATTTTTCCATCATCGACCACACCACACTGACTGCGCTCTCCAGCCGGCCTCGACACGTTGCCACAGCACACCACCACTGCACCATCGCTGGAGACTGAGTCGGAGCGCAGTTGTGGTGTGGTGGACGATGGAAAACCTGTACAGGGCCAAATGCTGCTGCTTACCCTACATTGTATATTATTTAGTACGGAAGACCCTTTCAACTTCTTGTAAAGATCGAATATGCAAGCCATGGCCTGGGTACGTTGAGAGCCAGGAATGCCGAATTGACAACTAAGTTACTTTCCCTGTCCATTTGTGCTTTCGGAAATTTTGGCATTTTTACGATGCGAAATGCTCTATAGTCACAGGACAAGAGCATCGTCTTCACTTCAGTGACAGAAACAACAATAGCGAAACAGTGTCGACAATTGTACAATCCTTCCAATGTCATCTGAAACACATCGCTGGCGCAGCACTCCGTTCCTGCGGAGGAACAACTAGTCACTACTGCATGCTGCAGCAGGTAGAGATTGTAGTGATGTAATCATGTACATATGTATAGTGTGCGCATGCGTGCATGCTTGCAGTAGAGAACTCGCAGAGCTTGAAGACGAAGCCTGCAATGGCTACCTCCAGACTTGCATTGTTGTAGTGTTGCCCATCTACATTGGCGCAGTGAACAGGTCAAGATGACAACGAAGGGCAGAGTGCCCAAGGATTTTGTACCCGATTACGCCGGCGACATCGGGGCCGATTTTGAGCTTTGGCTCGAGGATGTCAATGACTACTTAGCAATTTGTAATGTTTCTACTGCTGCTGACAAAAAGCGTTTATTTTTGAATTTGGCCGGACTCTCAGTTCGCAAAGTTGTAAAGGGTCTGGTTATTCCTTCTCCGCCAGCAAATGATGATGGTTCTCCTGGAGACGAGTACGTAGCACTGACGGACGCCGTTCTGGCGCACTTCCGTCCCACCATCAATACGACGTCAGAACGTCACAAATTCCGGCAGCTCAAACAAGGGCCGGAGGAATCCGTCTCCACCTTCGTTGGCCGTTTACGAGAGAGAGTGGACTTATGTAAGTTCGGGGCGACGGATGTGGACAGCGTGGTTAACTCCCAGGTGCGAGACCAGTTGGTTGCAGGTTTGAAATCCCCCGAAGTTCGTCGCGAGTTGCTCAAGGAGTCCAGACTCACCCTCGCAGATGCCATCACCAAAGCAGTGGCACTGGAGACCTCCTATGCGGAGAGTAAGCTGTATGATCCGCCGGCAGAGCCTGCCAATCAGTTCAGCTCAGTGGCTGCCGTTAGTGCGACCAGACAGCAACGCAGACAGCCACGTACAGTATCTGGTTCTTGCAAGTACTGTGGCCGTACACATGCTAAGGGAAAGTCGTTTTGCCCTGCAGCCAACATCCGCTGTCGCAGTTGTAGCAAGGTCGGACATTTTGCGGCCGTATGTCAGTCGCAACGCTCTGGATTAGATGCTAACGCCGTCGACGAGGAGCCCGCCGACCTAGCTGACCAGGCTCATTTGGTTTATGACACCGTGTACATGGCTGAGCAGACCGGGTCACACCGCCAGTTCCTCGCATCGCTATTGGTGGATGGCAAGGAGTGTGAAGGTTTGCTGGATACCGGTGCAAGCCGTACTATTCTCACCGATGACATTGTCCAGCCTACCCGCAGCAGTAATCGTGTCCTCAAGGCGTACACAGGCGGGGAGATTGCAACTTTAGGCATGGCTGATGTAACCATTGCATCTCCTACGCGTACCATGTCTTGTAGTTGTTTTGTTGTACCCCATGGGAAACATCGTATTCTGTTCGGCCAGGATGTGATCTCTGAACTTGAGCTGTTGGTTCCAGCGCACCTGGTGGACACTGGCAATTTGGTTGACACCGCACCAATTTCCATCTCCGTGGATGCTGAAGCTAGGCCGGTGGCTCAACCAGCACGACGTCCCCCATTCAGCGCCAAGGCCGACATTGAACATGAACTGCATCGTCTTGTCAAGGCAGATATCATCGAGCCAGTTAAGGAAGCGTCTGGATGGGTATCGCCGATCGTCCCAGTCCGTAAGTCAAACGGCACCTTGCGTTTATGTGTTGACTATCGGCAGTTGAACAAGTCTATTGTTAGAGAGCGACGTTCATTGCCAACCATTGATGAGATTACTGCGGAGCTTGCGGGAGCGGAGGTTTTCTCGGTTTTGGACGCAGAGTCTGGTTTTCACCAGCTCTTGCTTGACGACCAATCCCGACCGCTTACCACGTTTACCACACACTGTGGTCTCTATCGTTTCAAACGACTGCCATTTGGCATATCCTGTGCTCCCGAGATATTTCAGCGTGTTGTAACTGATCTCCTTTCGGGTTTGCCTGGTGTTGTTGTCTATATAGATGACGTCTTGGTGTATGGTCGCAACCGGGCGGAACACGATGCACGGCTCGCTAGCGTTTTGGAACGACTCAAAGCTGCTAATCTCTGCCTCAACTGGGGCAAGTGTCGCACTCGACTGACATGTGTCAAGTATCTCGGCCATGTCCTGACGAAGCAAGGTGTTCAACCCGACACATGCAAGCTTCAAGCTATCAGTGAACTGTCGGAGCCCAAGTGCCTCGCCGACGTTCAGCGTTTTCTCGGGATGGTCACCTATCTGGGCAAGTTTGTTCCTCAGCTGTCTCAAGTAACTGAGCCACTTCGTTCGATCGTCAAGCAGCCAGAGCCATTTGTAGCTACTGAGAGCCTGATTGCGGCATTCAACGCAGTAAAGCAGGCAGTCGCTTCATCTCTGCAGACATTGGCGTACTTCCGCCCATCTCCAGATGTTCGTACGGCTGTCAGCTGCGATGCTTCGCCTCAAGGTTTGGGCGCTATCCTCTGGCAGCACGACGACAAGGGCCAGTGGGTGCCAGTCACTTGTGCCAGCCGATCATTGACTGATGTGGAGACACGCTATTCGCAGATGGAGCGTGAAATGTTGGGTGTGGTATTCGCTCTAACTCGTTTCCGCCAGTACGTTCTGGGCCGGGATGTGGACGTCTTCACGGATCACAGACCACTGCTCCATATAGTTCAGAAGCCGTTCGATGACGTCCCACCACGTCTCCAGCGTTGGCTAGTCTCTCTGATGCCGTATTCGTACTCACTCAAGCACATCCCAGGAAAGCAACTGTTGTGCGTTGACGCCTTGTCTCGTGCTCCGCTGAAGACCACTGTCTCGTCTCCAGCTGAGTCCCGGTCATTGAATGAGTACGTCAACATGGTTCTTGAGGCAGCACCAGTCAACCTTGAGGAGATCCGCCGTGCCACTCAAGACGACGCAACGCTCCACAGTGTCCTGCAGCGTGTGCTCACCTCATCCTGGCGCGATGCCTCGCCCGCTGAGCAGCCGTACTATCTCGTCAGAGATCAACTCACTGCAGCTGACGGTGTGTTGCTATTGTCGGCACGTGTTGTGATACCAGAAGGGCTACGCCATTCCGTCATGGCATTAGCGCATGAGGGACACCCGGGCCAGGAAGCCTTTCAAGATTCCCTCCGGCAGAGGGTTTGGTGGCCAGGGCTCACCAAGGACGCTAGTCTGTATGTGGAACGTTGCTCCGAGTGTTGGCGACGTCGCACAAACAGTCCGCAAGATCTTCTCCCCACTGAGATTGAAGGCGTGTGGGAGAAACTGGCAATCGACCTGGTATCTATTGAGGGCCACTCTGTTCTCTCCCTCATTGATTATGGCTCCCGGTACCCTATCCTCAAGGTTCTGTCCTCTACAACCACTACAGCTATCGTGGACGAGCTAGATGAAGTGTTTGCCCTATTCGGTCTACCGTCTGTACTGGTTTCGGATAACGGGCCACAGTTTGTGTCGGAGCAGATGACCACCTTCTTGCAGCGGCTGGGCATTCGTCACATCCGCTCCAGCCCACGTTATCCACGTTCCAATGGCATGGTGGAACGACTCCATCGTCTCGTCAAGGAAAGAATGGTGGCACTGAAGCCTCATTTACCCCCCAACCGACGGTGTCCGGATTCTGCTTCGTAACCGCCAACATGTCAGAGAATTGGTCTCACCTGCTGCTGCATCGTCTGATTGGCCTGAGTTTGTTGCCTCCGTACCCAAGTCACCGCTGTCCACGCCTCCTGTTAGTGTTCCGGTTCCGACTAGCCCGGCCGCACCACAATCGGCGACAGGTAGTGAGCCATTGGTGCCAGCGTCAACGGAAGCTGAGGCCCCTCTCACCCGTTCTGCACTTGCTGACGCCTCACCCGCGTGTTCTTCGCCTCGTCCAGTTTCTCCTAGCGATGTCTGCAGGGATCAGACCAGCTCACCAGCCAGTGAGTCTCCCAAGCGATTTCATGATGGCATGAAAACCCGTTCTGGCCGTCAGGTAACCCTTACAGAGAAGGCCAGAGCGGCTTATGGATGACTGCTGCTGCTGCTGCGGGACAGTGTGTCCATGGACACGTAGAGACCATTTTACCGTTTTTTTTTGTGCTGAACATTTTTTTGTTTTGTTTTCTTCCTCGTTCACAGCCGCTTGTCGGTAGTATGTAGCGTGGTTGTGTTTTGTTTTGTTTTTCTCAGTGATTTGCAGTTTTTAATGACTGGCGCATGGCATGCGCATTCGCTTCGGTTTTTTCCTTTTCTTCTTTTTGTTTTTTCTCTTTAATTAATTGGCTTTTCCTTCTTCACTTTGTTCCTTTATTTTGATTTCTTCTTCTTTTTTTTATTTGAAGGGGGAGATGTAGTGATGTAATCATGTACATATGTATAGTGTGCGCATGCGTGCATGCTTGCAGTAGAGAACTCGCAGAGCTTGAAGACGAAGCCTGCAATGGCTACCTCCAGACTTGCATTGTTGTAGTGTTGCCCATCTACAGAGATTACTGACTTTGCTTGGATGTCGGAGCCCTCATCTTGATACGGGCGTCAGCCTTTGGGTAATCCTGAAATAAAGATTATTATATTCTGAGGAGCTTGAACTCTACGTGTACGGTTCGAAGTTCGTTGAAGAGTGTCAGTACTTGGAACATCCTTTCTCTTCTGCAAAAAACTTGTCCAAGGAATACTGACCACACCACACCCATCCTGAGCAACAGTGAATGACAGCGCCAATGGAGGTAAGGAATTAGTTCGGATCGTTTCGAAAGATCAAAAAGGAAACAATCACCCAATTTTGTCTACAGTGTCCGTTTGTAAATCAAGGACGTGAACACCAGTACAGACTAGTACTATCCGTACAGTATCGATCTACCGCACGCGCATGCAGTGCACTGGCTGACAGTCTGTGCTCCTTGACTCAGTGACTGCACCGATGACTGTGAGCGGACGGACGTCCTTTTGTGCACACATGATATTTTTCGATATTTTCTCAGCCGCACACTTTGCAAAATTAAGGGGGTTCCATGGAACCCCCCCCCCCCCCCCTGGATCCGCCACTGGCAAGTGCCACCATGCAGAAGGTCGGGAGAGCCATCTGCCCCCCCCCCCCCTTCTGCCTTTTTTCTGGAATTTTCTGGCCAGTGAATCCCCTCCCTAACTTTAGTTTTTTTCATTTTTCATTCATTTTTTGAAAAACACACACCACACCACATACTCTGGCAGGCACTGGTTGTTCGCAACCACCCAGGAGAATGAAAGAAGATCTAGGAGAATGAGAAAAAGAAGAAAGACGTGTGCGGCCATTATAATCGTCGGGAATTGAACCCGCAACCTCTCGATTGGAAATCGACTGCACATACAACTGCACCATACAGGACACACACGCGTGCGTGCGCGCTCACCCACACGCACACACACATGCACATATGCGCACAAACACACACACACACACGCACACACATCATTTCATCATCATCATCATGATCACACGCCAAAAGCAAATACACAGATACTTCTAATTGGCTCAACTCACTCTCAAGCTTTTGCAAAGTTTGTCTACCATAATACCTTGCTCAGAACTCTCAGCGTCAGAGGACGGACGATGTTGACCCTGAAAAAAGCAAAAGAGGCTTTCCCTGTAGATCGGGAGTAAAAAAACGAGTAAAAAGACGCAGTGGCACGAAATGAAGACAAGTTATTACTATCATTATTCCCGTAGCTATGCAGAAGACGTTACTTCAGTAACGTCTGGCGCTAGCCAGGGTCCACACAGCTTTAATTTGGTGTTTGTTTGTGTGTTTGTTTGTTTGTGTCACGCCTGGCGCTATCCCGTATCTGTCCCGTACTGTACCGTACCAGCAAAGACAGCTGGCCACAATATTTTTGTTTGTTTGTGCCATCGACATGCCTGGCGCTATCCCGTACCTGTCCCGTACCATCAAGAGTACGGTACCATCAAGAGAATGAGTATATATGCGAAGTGTATCGCCGGGGGAATGCATTCAGTGCAGTAACTTGTGTGCAAGGCCGAGATCCCACTAGCAGGCTGGCTGGGCCACCTGTCGACCAGCCCGGGAATCGCATGTAGGCCGATAGCATAATAATTATAATGTATATACAGTCATGTAGATGTATAGCAGGGAGTCATATTATGTAAACGACTCCCTGCTGTATGGGGAGATTTTCTGGAAAGAAATACGAAGTAGGGAGACGAGTAAATGCAATCAGAATGAATGTTAGTTGCCGTCAGTATAATAATAATAATACACAAAGGCACACAATGAAAACCGTAGGTTTTCATTGTGTGCCTTTGTGTACGCCGCTCTGCCTGAATCAGGCATTGAGCACTCTTGCAGAACCAAAGCATATTGCCTCTGTAATAATAATAATAAGAAGAAGAAGAAGAACGCCCGTGATCGGCAGAGTCAGCGCCGGTCCCAGGAAACGTCAGGACAGACATCCCGTCGACTCCAGAACGCCCGTGATCGGCAGAGTTAGCGCCGGTCCCATAGCTATGCAGAAGACGTTACTTCAGTATCTCATTGAAACGTTTTTGCAATACAATGATGTAGCTAATCAAAGAAAAAAGCATTTCCATCAGTTCTAACAACATGCACGATGAGCTAGGCAACAAAGCATAGCGCAGGGCCCTGAGCTTCCAAGCTCTCTCGTATTGTACCCATTAATCGGGTCCACTCTCAAAAGTGGTATTATCTAGCCATTTGCTGCAGCTCTGCATTGAACTATATTGCATCCACGATTTCGCACTGCAGCTCTACTTTGAGCTAACAGCAGTTCTACTTTGAGCTAACCACAGCTCTACTTTCAGCTAACAGCAGCTCTACTTTCAGCTCACAGCAGCTCTACTTTCAGCTAACAGCAGCTCCACTTTCAACTTCACACCAGTTGTTTTGAAACTAGCACTCCTCAATCCAAAGATGCCGCTCTTTGTTGACTTGTCACTCCATCAGAATCAGTAAGTCCACAAAAGTCTTTTCGGTCTGTACACTGGGACGTGAATGTTTGCACGTCTTGTTCGCCGGTAAAGCAGTTAAATTGGAATCATGGAATTGACTCAAGACAGTCGTAGTTTACAAGTTGCACTGCCTGTACACATGCACAAACCTGTCAACGTCATGTGAACACAGAAACACAGATACTGCTTGCCAAACCTCATCACAGCGCAAATCGCATCCCTGAGTTTGACTTTCATTGGAGTGCAACTCGAACACAAACTGATCTTGCTTAAATGATGCATCATATGTTTGATTTGGTTTCTCTCAAGTCATGATAACTAGTCTGTCTCTGGGTAAGAGTCTTGATGAGCAGTTTTTCTGTGCGTGCTGTACATATGTATGTGTGTGTGTGTGTGTGTGTGTGTGTGTGTGTGTGTGTGTGTGTGTGTGTGTGTGTGCGCGTGTGCGTGCGTGCGAGTGTGTGTGTGTGTGTGTGTGTGTGTGTGTGTATGTGTGTGTGAGAGAGAGTGTGTGTGTGCATGTGTGGTACAAAACAAATCGCACGCCTGCGTTGATTCCTGAGAGGCATTTTCCCAGACCGTGATCCGGACTTGGGGTCTCGTCCTCATATGGTGCCCTGTTAGTTAAAATTTCATGTAAGGAGCGATTATTCGCTGGCAAGGACTTATTAGCACTCTTACGTATCAGGTTCGGTTTCCAGCAGCCGAAGAGCTAACTTAGGCAAACTAGCTGTATGGTAGAGCCGAGCTGCCAGCATCCAGAAGACAACAAACAGAGAGTAGACACACATACACATCATACATGCACACACATGCACACACATTATACACTCATATGCACTGACATATGTGCATTCAGGCATGTGCACACAAACACACACACACACACACACACACACAAACACAAACACAAACACACACACACACACACACACACACACACACACACGGACACTTGGAATTTTGCACATTTTAAATTCCAAACTCGGATGTTGAGCCATAAATAAATGTAGAAGAGAAAAGGACATATCGATACGAGTTAAGAGTAACTCTCCATCACTGTAACATGATACTATATACAGTCAGAAAGTGCAATAACTAGGCACAAAACTGACAGAGTACTGAAACATTCGACGTCCTGACACCTAGCTTCAACACATCTCCGTAGCGCCAGTAACAATCGACATTCTTTGTTCCGTTGGGACTGTAGCTTTTGCTCATTTTCGTTGCGCTTGCCTTCCCCTCTTTGGTCTTTCCATAACCTTGAACCTTCCAAGTTGGCTGTCGGTTAGCGCTACGGAGATGTGTTGAAGCTAGGTGTCAGGACGTCGAATGTTTCAGTACTCTGTCAGTTTTGTGCCTAGTTATTGCACTTTCTGACTGTATATAGTATCATGTTACAGTGATGGAGAGTTACTCTTAACTCGTATCGATATGTCCTTTTCTCTTCTACATTTTAAATTCCATAATTCATTTTTCGACTATCACAGCAAATATCCTTCCTATGCAGCCTCTGTAGCTAGCCTGGGATAAGGAAGATAAATATAGAACCGTTCAAGCCAGGAGTAGTAAAATATCGGTATTTTACTACTCCTAGGTTCAAGATCTAGTTTTTTTTTTTTTTTTTTTTTTTTTTTTTTTTTACTGAATACCACAGTACCATCAGATGCTGCACAGCGGGGGCGGTGGCATATTGGATGGAAGTGGGGGCGGGGCAAAAGTAACTCCTCCGACCAAAGGTCTCGGAATCGTTGTTACTCCTGTGCGCCGATACATAGGAGAAAAGAAACATGTGCATCCAAGAGGGGAGCACTGGCTTTGCAAACGATAATGGGGAGAATTTGAGATTGGGATAGGACAAAACAATAGTAAAAGCAGTGCACCGTAGGAAGATGGAGTGAACTGATAATCGGGTTTTAAGGCTGAGCGAAGGGGATCAAAGAGGGGTAGAAGGGAGCTGGAGTGCGGTCAGTATAATTAGGCTGGTGTGTTGGCAGGGATCATAGCCTGTCTGTGGCCCACTCCCACTTGCTGCGCCGCAAGTGGTCGTTGACGTTTTTCTTGAACGTGTGCATGCCTCTGCGAGAAGGGGGAGACTGCAGAAGGGTAGGTGGGAGCTGATTCCACGTTTCGATGAGAGAGTGGGGAAATGAGCGGAGCGTGTTGTTTCTTGCCTGAGGGGGAAGGATACTGGTGAGTTGCGATGGATGATGTGTTGCAGATCTGGTTGTCGCTCGAGTAGGCATGCGGTGTTGCGGTGCGGCTGCTGATGGTGGCAGAATGGCTTTCACCATTTCCGGACCCTCCACAAAGTGCAGCTTGTACAGAAAGCAGAGCCCTGCTACGGTACGGCGAATGTCGAGGCTCGGGAGGTATGCTCCATCTCCAATTATGTGCAGGGCACGGCGCTGGATGGCAGTGAGGCGGGCCAAGGTGGTGGGGGCTGCGCTCATCCACACCAGCATGCCATACTCTAGCACAGGGCGGACAAAGCCACGGTACACGATTGCCCGGTGCTTTGGGTCTAGCACAGCCGATGCCTTACGGAGGAAGCCGAGCCGCTGGGCTCCGCGTACTGCAAGCTGTCGGATATGGCTGCGGAATGCCAGCTGCCTGTCGAAGGTGACACCAAGAAGCTTGAGCTCCTCTACTTCTGGCACGACTGCTCCTTGGAAGCGTATTGCGTTCGGGGGGGTTGGCGAGCGGTGGTGGCTGATGGTCAATGCCTGCGACTTTGTGGGCTCGAACTTGATCCTCCACCTCCTTCCCCATGCTGCCAGTGAGTCTACTGCCTGCTGGAGGATTGCTGTCTCTTCTGGCAGTCTGAGTCGGGTGGTGATGCACTTGTAGAGAGTTGTGTCGTCGGCGTATACAGCCAGCTTCGCCCCATCAGGCAGGTGGTCTTCTGCGTCGTTGACGTACAGAAGGAAGAGGGTGGGGCCGAGGATGCTGCCCTGTGGCACGCCAGATTGGATTCGGTGGGTCGGTGAAGACTGGCCACCTATGACGACCCGGATGTGGCGGTCTGTCAGGTAACTCCGGAGCCAGGCAAGGAGGAGGCCACTTATGCCGCACCGCTCAGCCTTGTGGAGGACGCCGTTGTGCGAGACCTTGTCGAAGGCCCCGGCAATATCTACTGCGAGTACCCTGACGAGGCCTCCACTGGCAGCTGCAAGGCTCCACTCATGCTGAAGAGCAATCAGCAGATCAGAGGTTCCCAGTCCAGTGCGAAAGCCAAACTGCCTGTGAGAAAGGATGTCATTCTTCTTCAGGAAGTTGGACAGGCTGCGGTTCACGATGGACTCCATACACTTAGACATTATGGGCAGTAGTGATATCGGTCGGTAGTTTCTGGGGTTCGACTTGGGGCCTTTCTTGTGTACCGGTACGACGTTGGCAACTTTCCACATGGCAGGTTGATGACCACTGCAGAAGCACAGGGTAAACAGCTTGGATAGGGGCAGGGCCAGAGAGTCGGCACATTTTCTCAGCACTCTAGCAGGTACTGCATCAGGCCCTGTGGCTTTACTTGGGTTCAGGGCTCGGAGTGTCCGGCGTACGGTGGCTTGGCGGAAGTGGACTGTTGCAAGCGTATTTGCGGTGCGCTGGCGGACATGCGGGAACGGCCCCGACTGTTCTGCAAAGTCATCGTCTAGGCTGCACTTCTGGGCAAAGTACTTCCCGATGACGTTAGCCTTGTCGTGGCTTTTGGTGCATTCCATGCCATCGGGGTCAACCAGGACTGGGATGGAGCTGTCCCGGCCATGCCCTCCAACTCGTTTAATCACGCTCCACCACTCTCTGTCCTGCAGGCTGCCCGTCCGGAGCCGTTGCTTGACATGGTCGAGATGTCTGGCTTTGGCTCTTGCTAGACATCTTGTTGAGTCAAGGGATGCTAGCTTGTACGTACACTGGAGCGCTCCATTGCTGGGGTCATCGCGGAATTTCCGCCAGGCATTGCGCTTTCTGTCAACTGCTGCAGAGCATTCTGGCGTCCACCAGATTGGGTCCTGCGGTCTGGTCTTGAAGACCTTGGATGGTATAAAGCGTTGCATTCCCTCAGTGATTCGCATGGTCAGAAGCTCACATGATATGTTAGGGTCGTCGCCGATTATTGTGTCCCAGTCAGTAGTCCGGAGGAAGGCAGAGAGGCGGGGCCAGTCAGCCCGCTGGTATCGCCATACTGTACGAGTGGTGGGTTGGTCTACGGATGCAGTAAGCTGGAAGTCGGCTATGACAACAGCATGGTCTGATCTGCCAAGAGGTGGTTGGGTGGTGGTAGACACGGCTCCAGGCACATCTGACATGACGAGGTCAAGGATGTTTTCTCCACGAGTGGCTGAGGTGACGTGTTGTCGGAGACCATGTACACAGCACATGTCTTCTGCAGCTTCTCCAGCAGCCGAGGTGCGTGGACTTCCAAGCCATTCCCGGTTGTGGGCATTGAAGTCCCCTGCCACAATAATGTGTGAGCAGGACTGCCGGGCTTTGTCGATGTCAGATTCCAGCTGGGTGAAGATACTGCAGTCGCTGTCTGCACTCGTCCCAGGTCTGTAGGCAGCACAGATGCCAAATTTCATGCCTGACGGTGCAGCAACACTAATCCAAAGAGTTTCACACTCAGAGTTGATGTCCAGTTGTTTGTACGCCATCCCTTCTTTCAGCCATATGGCGACTCCGCCGCCTTGCGCTGTCCGGTCTCGACGTATTGGGGGGTAATAGCCAGGGATTGAGACTTCCGCAACTGAAGCCTTGTCGGGCGATAGTTTGGTCTCGGTGACGACAGCGATGTCTATATGCAGGCTTTTCAGAGTATGCTGAAGCTCATCCATTTTGTTGTAAATGCTGAATGCATTCGTGAGCAGAAGACGGAGTGAGGGGGCCTTAGTTTTCATTGTGACCGTTGGCGTTGTTTGGGTTGGTGCATGGCCTACGTTGGGTGGTGGGCTCGTGGGTCTGTGTATCCTGCTGGGGTGGCTGCGCACCATGCTGGTCAGCTCGCTTTGCATCCTGCGGCAGCGAATCTGGTGACCGTTCTGCAGAGGAACGTTTGTGGCTGTGAAGGGGGGTTACAGGTGTGCCGGCAGCGGCAGCGGACAGGCCACAACTCGCGCTCAGGAAGTCGTTAATTGTGGCGCCAATCCCAAGTTGCTGTTGCTCTTGATCATGCTGCTGTGCTTCCAACTGGTTGGTGCTACTGTCGCTACTGCTGCTGCGGCGACTGCTGGTGCTGCTGCGGTGACCACTGGTGCTGCTGCGGCGACTGCTGGTGCTGGTGCTGCTGCTGCTGGTGTTGTTGTTGGCGTTGTTGCTGCTGCTGCTGTTGTTGTGCTTGTTGTGGCTGCTGCTCTTGCTGCTGCTGATGCTTTTGGCCGCGACTGACTGGGTGCTCGACTCCGATACACTGGGACCCACCGCGTTTTGCGCAGAGGAGTGCTTACGGCCAGCGTCAAACTTCCATGGCCTGCAGTACAGTGGCCGGGGCCAGAATTAGGACCATTTATACAGTAAAATAGTTCAGATGACCAACAAAAGGGACACACTTTAAGATTTGAATGCTGGTGGTTTCCTTCTATAAAAGTGCCCGGTTGTGAAATGTGTCTGGATATGACCACTCCTGTAAGAGATGCCCTACCACGTGCACAGGGAGAGCTATTATCCCCCTCAGTGAAACATCTTATATCCAAACTTACGATCACAATTCGGATTGTGTCTACAATATGGATTGTTCCAGCACTCCTCTGAACTGATCGTACAGCCATTACGCATCTGGTCGACCAGCCTAGCAAAAAAACACAACCACACAAACACACACACAACACACACACACACACACACACACATGCACATGCACGTGGGCCGCACATACATACCCCACATACACACACACACATACACACACACACATACACACACACACACACACACACACACACACACATACACATACATACACATACACACACATACACACACACACCTCAGACCTCAGACATGCCCATCGCGGAAGCGATGATAGTGAACAGCTACGTTAGACATAGCAACTTGTGCTGGGATTACACCATTCAACAGCTTGCAAGGCTGATGAATTGACCGCCACTATTTTTAGCCTGGTATCCACCACACAGCTGTTTGAGGTGACTTTTTCTGGACACACACAAACACACACACACATATACATCCTGTCCTGTCCTGTAGAGCCACTACCACTAGGGTCATGTGGGCCCCGGAGGGGCAGCAGAGAGAGAGAGAGAAAGAGCACGCCACCCGATGGTGCTCCAGATGCGAGACTAGTCGGAACCGGCGAGAGCAGATACAAATATGCAGGAACTTACATACACACACACACACACACACACACACACACACACTCACGGGTGCATGCTGCATTTTAGTTTTAATATTTCACTACCGGAAACAGGCACTGTTGTTTCCCCACCAGAGGAGACTGGAGAGAAATTAGAGGGCTACAGGGACAGATGGCTTAGCTGGATATTTATGCAGTGCGCTTATGGGTCCAGACGCCCATAAACACACACATACAGGCCTGATCACATTCACTATCGCCAAACCGTTACTCCCGGGCACCTGGTGTATGACGGTGTGGTGGCCTTCAGTTAGACTCACACAAATATGGACTCCCAGTCTCATGTAACTCATGATGGTAGAAACACAGTGTTGAAAGGGGACCGATGCATATGTCCTACCAGGGTTCTGGCTACGGTGACAAGGGTTCAAAGGTAACAGTGCATGTACCATTATTATCTAGTGGCGCTGCAAAGGGAGGTGACGTGACCCTGTGCATGTTACTGCAGCCGAGTGTGGAAGTGAGAGGTGAGCATTCGTTGTGTGAGATTGGAAGTCGGTGACGGTGATCAAAGAGTGCAGATGTGCCCAGCCTCTCAGTTATGTAAACAAGCTGTGCATGTCAACCACCAGTGACTACCCACAAACACGCAACACATATTATTACGATGTGCACCATGTGCACTCCTTTTTTGTTTTTGGCAGGAATCAGTGGTTTCACCCTCCGATGAGAAGGCAGCATTGCCTGTGCCCATAACGAAATAAAATAATTATAAGAGTATGACAACAACGCCAGATCACAAAAGCCTTCATAATCCTGGCATAATGCTGTCTGCTGGTATAGTGCTAACGTTTTGTCAGGAAACACTGAATAGATCTCTAGCTTCTCACTCGCGACACCCACCCACCCATCCACCCATCCATATAATTATAGTGATAAAACAAAACAAACAAATTTCACGGTTCGCGTCTGACTCTGCTGGAGGCCGGGCTTTCCGCATCCGTAGGAACGCCACCACCCTTTAGGGATCAAGGCGCAGATGCAGCTCCTAAAGCGGTGGGAGGTGAGGAGATCAGCCCCGCCAAAGTGGTCAAAGACCAAGAATCTCATTCACTGCATCCATTCTTTCCTCGTGCCAGGCCACGAGTTCCCACTTAACTGTGGGTTGCAGCACGGCTGGAAAAAAATCCTATAATGATAGCTTGGCCAGAATCAGAGCTCATGGGTACAACAACACACATACACTCAAACTCACGTATTCGTCTTTTTGATAGCAGCTGCCTGTGAAGCAGAAAAGGACACAACGGCGAAACAAATGGCAGGAAAACAATCAGAATAGAACAGCAGCGGCGTGCACCCAGCAGACAGTTAAATTCACGGGTGCATGCCAGTCTGATTGCACAGGCTACTTGCGGTAATCATGGCATCCGTCAGAAACAAGCACATATCGTGTACATACATACTACGTACCTGGAAAATTTCGGTAGAGATTTATTTTCGGTAACTTCGGTACAGGTAAAACGCAACGTAAAATTCAACAATGCCATACCACACAGTGTGCAAAATGCATTTTTGGATCTGGAAAGCTAGTTTCCTGAAATTTTCGCGCAACCGAACCGTTGATTTTAGGAAATACCGAGCATGTTACACCACCGAGAATTCCCGGTTCTACAGTACTGTAAGCAAAGCTAGCTGCGTTTCTCACAGATGGAGCACTCTGAAAATCTGGTTTCGATGCTTTGAGCAGGGATAACAAATGCTTTGTTGTTCACTGGACCTCATTGCGATCGGTTTGGCAACTCACTCTGAGCTCCGATCACGTGACCTAACAGGGTCTCTGAGCTCCGATCATGTGACCTAACAGGGTCTCTGAGCTCCGATCATGTGACCTAACAGGGTCTCTGAGCTCCGATCATGTGACCTAACAGGGTCTCTGAGCTCCGATCACGTGACCTAACAGGGTCTCTGAGCTCCGATCACGTGACCTAACAGGGTCTCTGAGCTCCGATCATGTGACCTAACAGGGTCTCTGAGCTCCGATCGTGTGACCTAACAGGGTCGAAACAGCTGCTATACGAAGATTGAGTACCGTACTATCCCTAATTAATGTACTGAGTTAAACGGAACCAAGGAAAACGGCGGGGCACAAGTTATGCGTTAGAGTCCACCAACTAAACCAGATTTTGAACAGTCAGACGTGCACAAGGTAGCACCAGACTGACGAGGAGTACCGAGACATTCCACGGCAAGGAAGTAAGCTTGAGCACTGTCCTCTTTGGAATTATCACTAATATCCATGAACCTTCCAAGTTGGAAGGTCGTAGGTTAGTGCTATCGAGTAGTGCTTGAAGGTTTGTTGTGATCATGAGGTCGCGCACACTCCACCTTCAGCCCCTTGTGTAAACTGTGCCGGAATTCAGCAGCGTCAACAACGACTGAGCTAGAGCTGAAAGTTGTGCAGGATACATTATTTAGCCATCATTCCATGGTAATGGTTCTGCTAATGGCTGAATTGAGCTTGGCGCGCCATGGCCTTGCAGTGGGTCCTTCGCCGTCTTTCCCAGTAACAATGGTGACACGTGCGGGTTTGTGCTGAGATCTAGGGCACCGTGTACTGTGTCCCTACAACTCACACAACGTTCCCAGTATTCCCAGTGCATCACTAAGCATCCAAGTAGTTGTCTGCACTGTGAGCACAGAGCTACCGGAAGCAGAGCCAAGGACCATACACCGATCTCTTTTGTCATTACAGTCTTTTAAGATAACATGATGCAGCCCCCCCCCCTCCCCTGGAGGGGAAGTTCACCCTAAAATGAAAACTTCACCACTTAGCGAAAATGCACTGATTCCGACGGTGAAGGTCTTAAGTTGATCGGAGCAGCCATTCCCGAGTTATACCAGTTTGAAGTTTGCACAAACTTTGGTGACATCATTAACTTGCCCAACTAGGTCGGATTCACGACGTCAGAGAGAGAGAGAGACTTTGTATGGGAGTAGATGGGGAAAAACCAATTTATTCCTTGTTTCTCTGCAACAAGGAATTTTATATTAGACTTTTTCCAGTTGGGATACTGGTAGGGTGCCATATGTCCCATACTGAAGTTTGAAAATGATCTGACTTCTTTGTGACAATGGAGAGCCAAATTACTGAAAATTCCCCATTTACTCCGATACAAAGTCTATCTCTCTGATGTCATAAATCCGGCCTAATCTGGGCAAGGCGCTGACGTCATAATAATGTCACCAAATTTAGTGCAAACTTCAAACTGGTATAACTCGGGAACGGCTGCTCCGATCAACCTGGGACATTCATGATTGGAATCAGTGAACTTTTCGCTACAAGTTGTTTTAAAGGTTTTCATTTTAGGCTGAACTTCCCATTTTAGGCTGAACTTCCCCTTTAAATATCTGTACTTGAGAGGCGATTTACGCGATGGCAGGAACCACACCGTACATGATCCTAGCATGGAGGTTCAGTCGCGTGAGCTTGAATTTCGGCAGAATGTGAACATTTTTCTAAAATGCCGCCCTCAATCTTTTCTGTCGAACTAGAGCAGAAACTCGTGGAACTTGAACCGACTTGCTGTCGGCTACAGACAAACAGATGGTGACCCGAGTGGATAACGTACAAAGCGCCGCAGAGAAATAACGTATATACAGTAGAAATAGGCCATCCAAGGACATCCACGGTGAACGAGCTTGGAAACAAACTTGACAACATCCTGAAAAACAAAGGTTCCTAATTCCAACATCTATGACGGGTGCAAGAAATCAACTGAATCTTGCTGGTGCATGCAGTTCCTGGGGAAACATCCACATGATAGTGAACCCAGTTTTTTGGTTCAGTTCGTCTTCACTGTCATCCCTTGGCCGGCGAGGGCCACTGCTGCACAATGCAGGAGCCACATGACACACTGGAGCTTGCAGAAACTGAAAAATACCCTTTCCTCCAACATCTTTGGTTCATTTCAAATACTACACGAACTAAAAAGTGTGGTCCCGGGACGCATGCACGAGCCTCCGGTCATGTGAATTAATTTCCGTTCCCCGACCTCGGGTCACGGCAAGATATCGGGATCAAGTGTTGGAGAAGTGTTGGAGCTAGGATTCAGGTCGTGAATGTCTCAGTACTCCTTGTCAGTGTTGTGCCATTTTGTCGCACTCGCTGACTGTATGATCTGGTTACGTTGGTAGACAGTTAGTCATAACACGTAACACGTTTTATCCTCGTCATATCCTTTCATTTTTGTTTTGTTTACCATTCTCCGACCGGCACAAGTGAATATTGACTATGGTGGGTCGTGTCTCAACACGGCTTACCCGGACTCAAAAAGTGCATTCATTAGTATTATTACTATTACTATTTTAGCTCAACTCACAAGCTTGTCTTGCGGAAAGATGCCGGCGCGCGTTGAGAACTGCATATGCTCCGGGTAGAACTTGTACCACTCGTAATTTCTGTGTGTTGGTAGGTCGGGGGTCGCCGGGTAGCCCTCCCTGGTATCAAATATGTTTTTGGTCAGAACGTCCCAGGTTTCTTCACGTCCGCCCATGCCTCTGTCTTCCAGTACGAGATGGTGGGTGTCCTTGATTGCAAATGTCGTGAACGTGTCAATATCCTGCTGCCAAGCACTTCTGTGGTAGAAAGTCTCTGTGTGCGGTCTTTTTGCAGGTACTGCCGCTGTGTCCTCATTCCACCATTTGTGGCGTGATCCCGGGCTCCAGTCAGGAGGCAAGTGTACCGCGCCGACCAACCCATAACAATCGAAGTATCTATCAGTCGAGTTGAGAAACCATGGCACGGGAAGAGACTGAACCTCGCCTGGCTTGGCCACTCGCTTGGAGCATGACTGATTCACCAAGTGCTCGTACAAGAAGCTTTGGACGAGCGGCTGCTCTCGTTGCTTCTTGCTAACTGATTTCAGAAGCCACCTTACTTCACGGCAATCCTGGTGATGCGTCCTGATCCGGATGCCCGCGTCCGCCATGCCCACGGGCCGGCGCACATACGCCAAACACAGCGTACCAGAACACAACTAGCGCAATAGTCGCTCCGAGCTATGAGCAACCTTTCAAATCGACCAGTCGACCATTCACTAGGTCTGGGTTACCCTTTCCACTTTCAGTAACTCTGCAGCCTGGAGGACATTGAAAGCTAGCTTGCTATCGGCGATCTGCCTTCAGGCAGCGTAACACCCAGCACGTACCGGAGAGGAAAGACCAGATTAGTAATAGATACTTGGACGTCGTTTCCTCGCGTCAGGTCAGACTGACTCACAACTCTGTAGGGGCCCATACACCCAGCCAGCTAGCCAGAAACACATTATAACTACGAAACTGACTTTCTCAAACAGTCAAAGCACACACTGTTCCGCGGAAACGAGAAATAGAGAGTGAGAGAGGATTTCAAAGGCAGAAACACTCTCCTCGGCTACTGTGATAGTCTGTCTGGAATCTTTCTGCTTGACCGATTCGAAGCCGCTGAGCGCTGAGCGCTCACACTTCCACACCTGCTGCTATCGGTGCACAGTACAACTACAAGTGCCATGTAATGCGAGCGCGAGAGGCTCGAGGGTGCAATGCAGCGCTAGCTATATCGATCTGGTGACTCGACTGGACCCATGCGGAGTAGATAGGTTAGGCTAAGTAACAGTTAGTTAGGGGCAGGGGTGACCAGCTGCTTTGTGGTTGAGCCGCTTTTAGTGGCATGAGCAATGCGCAAGGAAGACATAAGGGTGCAGTGCGTCATACACTCAGTGTGGGATTTCGACTATCCATTATTATGTATCTAACTCGTCACCATGTCCGTGAACACGGTCGGTAGATCTATCCTGACCCTGCAGGCTGCAGCCGCGCCCTGGTCCACACGTAGATCTACGTAGATCTACGTAACCACCGAGTTCGAAAAATCAGTTTTTTTAGTACTCCCTGGGCCTGGCCTCGTCCACATAATCATTGTGGTTTGATGTGTTTATTATGCTCTGTACTGGTTTCGCTAGGTCAGTCGGTGAAGTTGTCCTACTCCTCCTCTCTGTCATTGCTCTGACCGCCAAAAAGTACGTGTGGCAGCGTAACGACTTTGAAGATTAGTACATGTATAGTCTATACATAGCAGGGTCTAACGTTAGGTACGCTTTCCAACGGCCAAAGAGAGTCGGAAAGCTTGTGTCTTTGTGGGTAACTTGAACATTTGGGCTCATGCAAAATCGCACCGATTTTGGGATTTCCCCACAACTTTTTGCGTCAGCAAAAATGTTGCGCTGGACCGCATTCCTGTCACTTCGCAGTGGCTTTTCGTTGGTGCAGTTTGTATCCCACCCTCCCACCCCTGACTTCTGGGTGTGTGTTTATCGGTAATTATAATTATCGTATTGGTTTTATTATTGGCCATGTGGCTGTTGCAGTTACGACTGCTTTTCTTTTTTAGTTAAAAACGTAGGGGTGGTGTGTGCGTCGTGGGCCATTGTATGGTTACATACAGATTCAGATTGTATGGCTAGTGACAGGGGGGTTGAGTCTGCAGGGGAAGAATACAGTGATTGAACTGAAGCTGGATGATGACCGTGATGAGTGTGTGGGGGTTTCGAGATGCCGTCCTGGGTAGGCCCCCGTGTAATATGCCGGCATTTTTTTTAGCATTTTCGGTACAATCCGCGAACCCAGCACTTTGGGCTCGTGATGCAGCATTTTGGGGGAAACGGAGCACTTGGCCGTTGTGTATCAAAATAATGAGAGAAGAAAAACTTCCCAAACAAGAACGTCACTTCCGCATTCCATGGGTTAGCTTCTTGTTGAGTAGTTTATGAATTGAAAATAATGGTTTTGACCAGGGAGTCGTATAATACCGGTATTTTCTGACTCCCTGGTTTTGAGTCTTTTGACGGCGTGTGCTGAGGATTACAAAAAAGTGAGCATTTTCCGAGCTAATTTTCGGCAAGGTTTGGGAGCATTTTCGGCAAGGTTTACGAGAATTTCCCAAAAGCATTTTCGGCAAAGTTTCGGGCATATTACACCGGGGCCTAGTCCTGGGGCAGGGATGTCAGTCCTTTAGCTTGGACGGTGTTGTTACATTCATTGTAACATTTTGTCGTTTTCTGTGTGTTTTGCTGTGCGACTTACAGTAGCAGCAGTGTCTTGTGCTAATTATTTTGTCTTATCAGGCCCTATGCGTACAATTATTCAAGAACAAAAAAATCAGGAAGGAGGTATAATAATGTCAATAATAAAGCCATTGCCGAGCCACCGTGCTCACAGCAGAGACTTCTGTGTGTGTTATTTTTGTGAAGTGGACCACAAAGACCAACCATGTACTATGTACTAGACTAGTGCTAGTACATGTAGGTACGAAAGGCCTCGTCCAAACGTCCAAACGTCCAGTACAGACAGTGGCTTCCGTGCTTTGCGTGCTAGCTTGTTTCCCCAACAAAACATCTTTGATTCCATTGTGGCAAATCATGAAATGGAATCCAAACTCTCCTCCGCTAGCACGCTTCTGGAATCTTGCAGCTTGACCACAGACTGATGTGAATCTGCCAGGCCCATACACAGGCATTCTGCATGGCATGTAGTCTGAAACTTACCTAATAAAGCTTGACTCTAACGTGACTGTTGCTAAGGCAGGAATGGCAACAGCCCAGGAATGGCAACAGCCCATGACATGCAGCGGCCGCGGAAGTGGGGCGTGGCATTTTGTACTCCACTGTCATCATCATGGTCATAGCAAGCTGGGAAAGATCACAGAAGGGAAGGCCTCTTTTACGGGCAAAGCAAAGCACAATCATCACCATGTATCAGTACAGTGAGTAGTTAAACCCAACACGACTGAAAAATGAGAAATGGAATAAAAACAATATTAATTTTGTAAAAAATAAATAAATAAAAATTCAATATAGAACACGAATAAAATAAAATAAAAATATGTAAATAATAAAAAATAAACAATAAACAATATCGAACATGGAATTAATTCCGGAACTATCTACTCAACCAATTCATAATGCAATACCCGCACACTGTGTCAGTGATGGAACTCCGCTACCCGATCAACATGCATGTGATGGGAAAGATCACAAGTCCTCATCATGATCGGTATGCCATGGTCAAAACTCACAGTTATTAATTTGATAATACTCATAAAAGGATACACTTCAGGCTCATTACAAACATCTTGAAAGTTTTGTCTTCACAAGTATACTTTCAAGCCTTCTCGTCAGGTGAAATACAGGCAAGGGAAAAGGAACATGAACAGTGGATTAAATACAGTAAGAAGGTGGTAAAACAGCGCAAAGAAGAAGATAGCTAAAGCCAACAGCGAAAATTGCAATAATGAGAAGGCTTGAAAGTATACTTGTGAAGACAAAAACTTTCAAGATGTTTGTAATGAGCCTGAAGTGTGTCCTTTTTATGAGTATTATCGCATTTTTGTCTCAGAGACAGAGGAAACTGTTTATTAATTTGAGTCTTTTTTTATTTACCGTAGTTGCTAGCGCTCTGATGACGTCGACAGTGCACAAGTGGTAACCATGGTAACAGAGGTGAAAGGCTGTGTAGCTGTAACTAATACATAATGATGTACTTGAAGTTTCACGCATTTCAGCGATCACCAGGCAGCGCTGCAAGGAGATAATACGCATGCATGTACTATGACGAGTGTGCCCCCTTCATTCCTGATGATGGTTATTGTTATGACCGAAACATTGAAAAATATTCCTGACATGAATTTGTGAAAAGCAGTGATTGAGTGTGAGCCAGTGTTGCTCACAACCCACTTACTAGTAATTACCTATGAAGCTGCGTGACGCGTCCTACAGAATTTTAAGGAAGAACTCAGTTCGCAGAGCGATTTCTTGGGTCAATTTGTTTGATATTGAACAAATTGAGTTCTTTTTTACTAAAAATTACGTGACACAGACAGAAGGACGAGCAGTTGCTGTTTCCTGACTCCGAGTTTCACCAATGGAATCGATCCTGATCAGACAAAAATTGATAATTACAGTATACGAGAAACACAGCCAAACACACATGTGGCAGTGAGAAGAAATGCTAGTAATGTGCTGTCAAGCCGTATGAAAGGCGCTGTCTGGGCATGAATGCACAGTATCAGCATCATCCTTGTGGTTATGTCGTATAATGCTAACGGCGGGAATCTGGGCTACTGCGGTGTAGAACAGGGAATAGTGTTGCTAGCCCAGTTACTAAGAAATCATTGTCAACACAGACCAGTGTAAGCCTCCAAGAAATGCAGTGTGAAATAAATACTCTTCTATACCTGCTCCGCCGGCATTGGGCCAATATGGTATCATATACAGCTGTGTATAGCACATGGCCTTCCCAGCAAGGCTTATGAGTAGTGGAAATAGGCAGTCATGACTGCTGGGTATCGATTCACAAGTCGAACCCAATGCGCACTGAATCCAGCCGGAAACAAGACGGGTTGATAAGATTTTGGCGCCAACGTGACGGTTGTGAAGTTTGCCCACTCCTCTCCAGTGATATGACCTGCCGTACCCAAGAAATCTACTTGCACCACAACTTGGAGCTGCTCAACTGGTGAGCTACCTGCCGAAAGATGTAATATCTACAAGCAAACGAGAAAGAGAGAACGCTCTGGTTGAATGAGCATGGTCTGTGTTGTTGGCGTTGGCAATACAAAAGTAGTGATCCAGGCTGTTTCCACAAAAATTTGTTCCGAAACTTTGCCATTACCACGACAAACAGTTCACCCATTTTTTCCATGTTCCATTATTGCATTGTCACAAAAAATGCAATATATGGGTGCACAGAGCGCCCGGAACGATCGATTTGTGTCCGTATTCTTGCTGTGTGAACTGAAGAGGAAACACAAATAGCCTAGGAAAATGAGTAGGGTGGTGCACTATAAGAGTAGGGTGCGCTGCCCCCCCCCCCCCCGCATTTTGCTAGAACCCTGCACTGCTTGGAATAGTGTGTGTTTGGCGTGGTATGGTGTCCGCTTGCTGTGCAGTGCACCACAGATCCACACATTCACAAATAAACTCTCAAAACATCATGCTCCACTTAACTTTGATGGCCAATTCCACTGTCAAAATTGCTTGGATGCCAACACATGGCAATTATGCTTGACAAACAGCCACAACAACTTGGTATTCCTTTTAAAATTAATTGGCTACAGAGTCACAGCACAATAGTTTTAAGAACTTACTTTTTTATCAAATCCAGTCATTAGGAAGGGGTCTGATACCTGATTTGCACCAAGTTCCTCATCTCTCCACACTCCACCCCATCCTTGAGGCTTGCCGAAACTCCAGAGGTCGTCTGTCTTTCCGAACCACAGGCCAGACTGGGCCTGACCTGTTACCAGATTGTTGTCGAAAATAGAAGAAACCTGGCGACAGTGAAACACATACACTAGACTCAACGGTCATGTATCAAGTACATGTGGCCATTACCGTGACATAGACCTGGGTGAGAACTTAACTCACAAATGCCCTCACAAACTCCGCTCTCGGCCGGCAACAAACACCAGCAACATAGCCCTGCTTATCAGGGTGCGTAGCTCGTGTATAGTCGTCTTAGTCCGGTCACCACACCAGCAAATGGCCGTCATAGGTACTACATAGTCGAAATAGGCACAATGGCGGCTATGAGGTTGTCGGTGGTACATGGTCATCACACCACAGATATGCTCTGGCACATACATGTAGCCACCACACCACGGATGTACGAGCTACGCCCCCTGCTTATAGTTCCTTAGCCACTTACCTGGTTTCCGCCAAGTACCAGGAATCCACGATACGAGGTGAAGTCCGGCACCATTCTGAGATGGCGGCTGACTGGTCGGATACCCCATGATGAGCTAGCCCAGCCCAATGGCGACAACTCATAGAACTGGCCCAGGCCGTCCATCAGGTAGCGCTCCGTCTCAACTTCACGAATGCGTGGCCACTCTGTCTGCCACAGGTGGTCATAGGCATGTGATGCCTTTGGTAAACGATATGTCAGCCACTGGTGCTGAGGCCCAGTTTTCGAATCGCCTATATAAGACATGCATCAACGCACATAATGCACATAATGCACATAATGCACAAGCACGTACAGAACATATTGTGAGGCATGGAGTATAAACGCATACAAGAGAACAGGAACCAATACTGCTGGTGCTACCTTCCTTCTGCCCAGTAGACGCACTGCAACATGGAACCTATTTTTCAATAGTCAGGGTTAAAGATGTGATATCAAAAGAGAGCAATTTTGATCATTCACGAGCTATAGCTAATCCTTCGTATGTGTTCTTTCATTTATTTTAATTCGCAGAATCAAACGGGCACCAAGTCCAATTACATGAGAGCGGATGTGTTTTGTGCGTCCATATAAACATCACAAAAGAGTGCTTACATGCATACAGATCATTCTGTGAAGCAGCCCTCAACAAAGGACGGAATCATTACTCCCCTTCCTTATACCCATCCTAAGAAGTGTCATACTTTGAAGTATGTGTGCTGCAAACTTACCAACGTAGGTCATGAAGAGAAGTGACTTAGCGTCCCATCCTAGTGCATAGATAACTTTGCCAAAGTTACCGCGGCCGGCAACCTCAGCGAAGGCTGTGCGTGCTAGGATCGTCCACTCGTGACCGGGTCCTTGCCACTCTGCCAGTCTACCACCATGAGCTGTTCCAAGGAAGTCATCCTCTTCTTCCGTATTGGAGGCTACAACCAGCCGTCCATTCATGCTGTGTGCTGCCTTGAAGTGAACCTGCTCACCAGATGATGTCGGAATGGCAAGTTCCTTGACCAAGTCAAATAGTTGTGTGCAGTTCATGTCGTACACATCACACTCCCACAGTGGACCATCCATGCCAAGCATGTACACCTGTTTAGGCCGGATAGTGCAGCAATATACAAACCATACTCGATACTCAATATTAGATTCCTAGTCTAAGCTCATGGTCTTATGCATCTTCATAAGTTGTTTCAGCGCGCTTGCTAAAGAGCATGGAGCTCAAATGTGATATGAGCTTGTAAAGTGCAAACCAAAAGTGTGACCACCAGATGGCTATGCTCACAGACACGTGCATTGATCCCAATTAGTCGCCGAGACTGGCTGTACTAACTGGCTCCACGCAATGTACATGAAACACACATTGTAACAACACCCGTAAGTTCCCCCGCCGACAATCCCTACCTTGTGTTCCGGATCAGTCAAATGCAGAGCCATGCCACCCACCCTGACATGCAGCAGGCTATCGAAGGTCTTGACCTTGCCTTCCATGTCAACCGCCCAAGCTCCAATAATGGCCTGATTGGAGTGCGGGTGCAGTAAGCGATTAGCGTACGTTGAACTGTGATTGGCCAGTTTCGTCATGTTCATGTCCTTGTTGATGGAATAGAAGCCCGTCCCTGAACCAGCGCCTGGAACTGATAAATAGCTGACCTGTTGAGAGAATAGAATGAAACGGGGAGTATGCTGTGAGACGCCGAAGACCAAACACGCTAAGCATAGTATAACACTTCAACAAGGACAGTATGGTTACTATGGTTACTGTGCCGGTATGTACAGTATGGTTACCGTGCCGGTATGTACAATAAAACCTGTCAAGGCGGCCACTCGGATAAGGCGACCACCTGCCCTAGAGGACCACTGAAACCAAGACCAAGCCGGATACTATTTCCAGTCGATTGACCCTGGATTAGGAGATCACCTGGCAACAGAGACCACGTTTTGAAGGTCCCTTGAGCAGTCGTCTTAGACAGGTTTCCTTGTACGTGATGGTTTGGCTACACATACATGTAGACTATAGTTCTGCAAGTACATGAAACATTGGAACCACTTGGGGGGGGGGGGGGGCACAACTCTGACCCCACCCCTATCCATTCTTCAGGGCCAGACAGTAATCGGAATCAGTAAAGCTGCAGATATCCCAACATGTTGAAGCAGCACAAAGTGAACATTATAATTATACTGTCGTGGACATGGAAATCCAGTCGATTGACCGGGGCCGGCGCCATCAGCCCGTACAGAACAATGCACAGTCATGTTGTTCCGATACGACCAGCGCATTGCAGCGCATGTGTATACTGCTTACCCACGGCCGGCTGCATGGCCAGCGCCCTGGGGCCGCTAGGCTGCATGGCCAGCGCCCTGGGGCCCCTAGGCGTGCGACCGGATTTCCATGTCCACGACAGTAGATGCTTCACTGATCCACTCACATGGTCACCACCAATGTAAGGTCTCAGAGAATGAACTATCCCCTGTGCTTGAATTGAATGCCACTGAATTCTGCATTGCATCCTGAGGAATTATTATATTTATTATTATTTTGCTTGTTCGCATTGACATCACCAAGCAAGCTTGGCTAGTCTTCGCATAAGCCAAATGAACTAAAGAAATGAGGAACGAGCGAGGTGATGAATGCTGCTTGAAATTCGCTATGGCCGACCAACCAAAAGTCAACTTGAGAATGAGATGTAGCACTGAGCTGCAGAGGACTATCGCCATGACTACACTGTGACGTATGAATACCCATTCAGGGAACCGAGAGATGTCCGAACAGAACAGCATGAAGTCTGGATTTCACTCGGGATGCCGCCGCTGAGGCTGTGTGTCCATACACAAACTCCTTGCAAACAATTCTATAACATCTTGTACTCACCTACACTACTGTGCTGCTCAGTGAAATCTGATCGCTTGACTCAAGAACGCCTGGTGCTGTGCATGCCAACTTGACCCCCCCCCCCCCACCACCACCACCACCACCACCACCACCACCACGATCGGATTTCATTGAGCAGCACTGTGAATGAACATGTATCTACATGATTGTACATGATTGTACTCCGTACTGCGAAGTATCAGTAAAATGCTGCATGGATCATGCCCGGTTTTTCATTCAAATTTCCACTGTTCCCATAAATACCCACTGATTACTTTTCTGTTCATAGTCATCTACATGATTGTATGCATTTGAGAAAATAGTTGTTATTATTGATCATGCGGCACTGGCAATATGGGAGGCGAACAATGATGTGGAAATGATTTGAATCGTCGAAATGAACTTGCGTGTACTAGAACCAGGTGCCAGGTGCTCAGTACATGTGACAATATCGCTTACCATGTAAAGATTATCTGCCCATGGAAACAATGCTCCTATTCCGCATTCCGACCGTTTCGGTCCACTAGCTGCTGTTGCCGCTAAGTTTGGAAAGATGCCACCGGACTGGAGGAACGGGGACATATCCATTTGCACTGCATGTGCAGAGCTGCCGCCACCGTGCGGGGGGCTGTGAGTGATCGGTGGTGGAACGGTAACTGGACCGTGACCATTGCTCTGGCAAACCACTACGCACGAAAGAAGACAGAATATGGACGCAACCCTCTGTAGGGCTTTGAGCGAGAAGAGCTCAAAACCTAAGGCCATGGTTGCTTCTTGTTTTAGTACAGACGAACTACGCACAAATACTTCTATGCAAGCACATTCTGGAAATCAAGAATACATATTCACACGGTTTCATTTTTTTTGTGCTCAAGTAAGTAACGTAGGTAATTAGTTCGTAACGTCGTTGCCCGGTCAGGATTCTGGCGCCTGCCAGTAATACCACGACTGCTGCATCCCCAGGACTCCAACATGGCAACAATCACCCGAGATGAGGAGACCACGAAACACGCACTGCGTGTCGATCTACCCTGTAGACTGTAGTAGATCTACCAAGATGTTTGTACATGCTGACGGCTACAGCTAGTGAACCATGGTGAACAGGCCTACACTACAGTACATGTATACAGTCTACATGCAGCATTGACATTGTAGGGCTACATTGTACAGGCTGCAGCCGGGCAGATCTACGCAAAACGGAGGAAAACAGAGGAAAGCAAAGAAAAAAGAAGAGAAACAGAGGAAAACAACAGATGAAAACATAGGGAAACAATAGAAAACAGAGGAGAACAGAGGAAAACGGAGGAAAGCGGAGGAAGGCGGGGGGGGGGGGGGGAAACAGGGGAAAACAGAGGAAAACAAAGGAAAACACAGAGGAACACAAACGAAAACAGAGGGAAACACTGTCACTGGAACACAGAGGAGAACAGAGAAAAACAGCGGAAAACAGGTGAAAACGGAGGCAAAACAGGGGAAAGAGGGAAATAGAGGAAAACAACAGACGAAAATAACGGAAAACAGAGGAAAACGGAGGAAAACAGAGGAAAACAGGGGATAACAACAGGTGAAAACCTAGGGAAACACTGGGAAACAGAGGAGAACAGAGGAATACAGAGGAAAACAAAGCAAACCAGAGGAATACAGTGGGAAACAGAGGGAAACAGAGGGAACCGGAGGAAACAGAGGAAAAAAGAGGAAAACACCAGATGAAAACAAAGGAAAACATAGGGAAACACTGGAAAAAAAGAGGAGAACAGAGGAGAACGGAGGAATGCAGAGGAAAATATAGCAAACCGAGGACTGCAGAGGGAAACAAAGGAAAACAGAGGAAAGGGAAACAGAGAGAAACAGAGGAAAAAAAGAGGAAAATACCAGATGAAAACAAAGAAAAACCTAGGTAGACACTGGAGAACAGAGGAGAGCGGCGGAAAACAGGTGGAAACGGAAGCCAAACATGGGAAAGAGGGAAATAGAGGGAAACAACAGACGTAAATAACGGAAAACCGAGAAAAACAGGGAAAAAAAGCAGGAGAAAATAGAGGAAAACAACAGATGAAAACATAGGAAAACACTAGAAAACACAGGAGAACAGAGGAAAACGGAGGAAAACGGTGGAAGGCGGGGGTAAACAGGGGAAGACTGAGGAAAACAGAGGAAAACAATGGAAAACACAGAGGAACACAAACGAAAACAGAGGAAAACGGAGGAAAACCGGGAAAAACAGGACACAATACAGGAAAAAAAAGATGAAAACATAGGGAAACACTAGAAAACAGAGGAAAACGGAGGAAAGCGGAGGAAGGCGGGGAAAAAAGGGGAAACCAGAGGAAAACAAAGGAAAACACACAGGAACACAAAGGAAAACAGAGGGAAACACTGGCAAACAGATGAAAACGGCGGAAAAAAGCGAAAAACAGATGGAAACGGAGGCAAAACAGGGGAAAGAAGGAAATAGAGGAAAACAACAGACGAAAATAACGGAAAACAGAGGAAAACGGAGGAAAACAGAGGAAAACAGAGGAAAACAGAGGAAAACAGAGGAAAACGGAGGAAAACGGAGGAAAACAGGGAAAAACAACAGGTGAAAACATAGGGAAACACTGGAAAACAGAGGACAACAGAAGAGTACAGAGGAAAACAAAGCAAAACAGAGGAATACAGAGGAAAACAGAGGAAACAGAGGGAAACAGAGGAAAAAAAGAGGAAAACAACAGATGAAAACATAGGGAAACACTGGAAATCAGAGGAGAACGGCGGAAAACAGCTGAAAACAGGTGGAAACGGAGGCAAAACAGGGAAATAGAGGAAAACAACAGACGAAAATAACGGAAAACGGAGGAAAACAGGGAAAAACAGGAGAAAACAGAGGAAAACATAGGGAAACACTAGAAAACAGAGGAAAACAGAGGAAAACGGAGGAAAGTGGAGGAAGGCGGGGGGAAACAGGGGAAACCAGAGGAAAACAAAGGAAAACAAAGGGAAACACTGTGAGAACGGCGGAAAACACAGAGGAACACAAAGGAAAACAGAGGGAAACACTGGAGAACAGAGGAAAACAGCGGAAAACAGAGGGAAACCGAGGAAAACATAGGGAAACAGAGGACAACAGAGGAAAACAAAGGAAAACATAGAAGCACTGGAAAACAGAGGATAGCGTCGGAAAACAGCTGAAAACAGGTGGAAACGGAGGCAAAACAGAAAAATAGAGGAAAACAACAGACGAAAATAACGGAAAACAGAAGATGAAAACATAGGGAAACACTAGAAAACAGAGGAGAACAAAGGAAAACATAGGGAAACACTGTGAGAACGGCGGAAAACAGGTGGAAACGGAGGCAAAACAGGGGAAAGAAGGAAATAGAGGAAAAGAACAGACGGAAATAACGGAAAACAGAGGAAAACGGAGGGAAACAGAGGAAAACAGGGGAAAACAACAGGTGAAACATAGGGAAATACTGGAAAACAGAGGAGAACAGAGGAATACAGAGGAGAACAAAGCAAAACAGAGGAATACAGAGGAAAACAGGGGGAAAGAGAGGGAAACAGAGGGGAGCACAAGATGAAAACACCAGATGAAAACAAAGGAAAACATAGCTAGACACTGGAAAACAGAGGAGAGCGGCGGAAAACAGGTGGAAACGGAAGCAAAACATGGGAAAGAGGGAAATAGAGGAAAACAACAGACGAAAATAACGGAAAACAGGGGAAAACGGAGGAAAACAGCAGATGAAAACATAGGGAAACGCTAGAACAGAGGAGACCAGAGGAAAACGGAGGAAAGTGGAGGAAGGCGAGGAAAAACAGGGGAAACAAGAGGAAAACAAAGGAAAACACAGAGGAACACAAAGGAAAACAGAGGGAAACACTGGAGAACAGAGGAAAACAGCGGAAAACAGAGGGAAACCGAGGAAAACATAGGGAAACAGAGGAGAACAGCGGGAAACAGCTGAAAACAGGTGGAAACGGATGAAAAACAGGGGAAAGAGGGAAATAGAGGAAAACAACAGACGAAATTAGCGGAAAACAGAGGAAAACGGAGGAAAACAGGGAAAAACAGGAGAAAACAGAGGAAAACAACAGATGAAAACAACAGATGAAAACATAGGGGAACGCTAGAAAACAGAGGAGAACAGAGGTAAATGGAGGAAAGCGGAGGAAGGCGGGGGGGGAAAACAGGGGAAAACAGAGGAAAACAAAGGAAAACACAGAGGAACACAAAGGAAACAGAGGGAAACACTGGAAAACAGAGGAGAACGGAGGAAAACAGCGGAAAACAGGTGGAAACGGAGCCAAAACAGGGAAAGAGGGAAATAGAGGAACTAGAAAAACAGAGGAGACCAGAGGAAAACGGAGGAAAGCGGAGGAAGGCGGGGGGGGGGGCGGGACAGGAGAAAACAAAGGAAAAACACAGAGGAACACAAAGGAAAACAGAGGGAAACACCAGACGAAAATAACGGAAAACAGAGGAAAACGGAGGAAAACAGGGAAAAACAAAGGAAAAGAGATGAAACCAAGGGAAGCATAGGGAAACTCAGGGAAAACACAGGGAAACAGAGGAAAACAGAGGGAAAAAAATAGAAACGCGGAGGAAACACTGGAAAACACAGGATAACAGAAGAAAACACAGGAACGCCGGGAAACAAAGGGAAATAGAAGGAAAGCAGGGGAAACCGAGAGAAAAGAGGAAAACAGAAGCAGACAAAACCAAGGAAAACACAGGAAACAGCGGAAGAAAGTGGGAAACAGAGGGAAACAGAGGGAAACAGGGAAAGAGGAGAAGAAACAAGGACAACGCAGGAAAACAGGAGAACACAGGGGAAAAATACAGGAAAACAGAGGGAAACAGAGAAAATCAGAGGAAGGCAAGGGAGAACAGAAGCAATCTGAGAGAAACAGAGGGAAACAGAGAAACAGATGTAAATAAAAAAGGAAAACAAAGGAAAACAAAGGAAACGGAAGAAAACAGGGAAACAATGGGAAAATAGGGAAACAACAGACGAAAACAAAGGGGAGTCCAGGAAACCAGCGGAAAACACAGAAAAGCAGGGAAACAGAGGGAAATAGAAGGAAAAAGGGGAAACAGAGAGGAAGCAAAGGAAAACAGAAAAAGGCAAAAACACAGGGAAACACAGGGAAACAGCGGAAGACAGCGGAAGACAGCTAAAAACAGAGAGAAGCAGAGGGAAACAGGGAAACAGTGGAAAACAAACAAGGAAAACGGAGGAAAAAAGAGGAAAACACAGGGAAGAAAACAAAGGAAACCACAGGAAACAAGGGAAAACAGAAGGGAAGCAGTGAAAACCAAAAGAAACAGAGGAAACCGAGGAAAATAACAGATGAAAACAAAGGACTACAACAGGAAAATACAGAAGAACAAAGGAGAACAGCGGAAACAGCGGAAAACAGGGGGAACTGGCGAGAAAACGGGGGAAACAGAGATATACAGAGGGAAAGAGAGGAGAATAACAGACGAAAACAACAGGGAAACAGAGGAAAACGGAGGAAAACAGAAGAAAACACAGGAAAACACAGGAAAGCAGGGAACAGAGCGAAATAGAAGAGAAACAGAGGAAACAGAGAGAAACAGAGGAAAACAACCGACAAAAACAAAGGAAAGCACAGGGAAACAGCGGAAAACACAGGAAAACACAGGAAAGCAGCGAAACAAATTTCACGGTTCGCGTCAGACTCGGCTAGTTTCATTTCGTACCTGACGATGGAAATTCTGCCGAAACGTTGTACGTAAAGGAATATGTTCGGTTGGCAGTGCTGTGGGAATGGGTGTGTCCACCCAACTACTCAAAAGAGGAAAACACAAGAAAAGAGTCAGGACAAAAACAGGAGAGCAGGGAAACAGAGGGAAAACAGGGAGGAAACAGAGGGAAACAGAGGGAAACGGAGGAAAACGGAGGAAAACAGAGGGAAACAGCGGAGAATAGAGGAAAACAGGGGGAACAGCGGGAAACAGCGGGAAACAGGGAGAAACAGAGGGAAACCGAGGAAAGGAAACACAGGAATACAGAGGAAAACAGAGGAGAACAGAGGAAAAACCTGAGGTCCAGACCCGTCAAGCCTGTGGGCTGGAAGCTTCGTCTTTTTTTGCTACCTTCTCCAAGCACGTCGGTACGTAGACTACACAGGTAATGTTCTCGATCGAGCGAGCATCGCCAATTTACTTTTCGCAGCATAACTTTCTTTGAAGTTCTCCATCACGATTCACGAAGCATTAATAAAACGGCTAACGCAAACGATGACTTAGGCCACACCAAGTTATTTCTATGTTTCGCGGCACCGCGCGCGTACCTTTTCGAATCGTAGACAAGAAGAAAAGCAGTGAATTCTCTCGCCAGTATAGTATGGCAGATCAGAGGTTATCAGTTTCTCGATAATCTTGCATTCCAGGCGATGGTACGTAGAAGGTGCGAGCGATGAAAATTTCTATTTCTCCAAGCCGTATGGTAGGGCCTGCTCACCAAGCCAGTGGAGATTCCAGGTGTCAAGGACTCCGAGATTTTCCACGATCATCGTGGTGGAGCGGAGTTCCTCTCGCCTCATGTCAAAGTGCAGAAGGAGCCATCCATGAAATCGGTTACTGTATCGCTCCACTCCAGTCCAGTCTGTCAGCAGTGCTGTAGGCTGTAGCGACTTGTTGTCGTTTTGGATGACAGTAACTGTTGTACAGTCATATAGAATTCTGTGTGCAACATGGCTCATGCGCATAGAATGGAGTTTTGTTTTTCCTCCGTTTTTGTTTTTTTCCGCCAGCCCGCGTGCCTCAAGTAAGAAAATATCCGTTGGTGTCACGGTAGAGGTCTACGCGGGTGTGGCCTTATAAGTTATGTAATAATTGTTCAACAATTGGAACCCAGTGCGCATGAGTGGCCAACTACAGTGCTGGCAACTGAAATCCGGCAACTTAAATCCGACCCCCTTGCCGGCGCGCGGCGCCCCGGCAAGGGGGTCGGATTTCAGTTGCCAGCACTGTAACCATGGTAACTGGGAAGTGTTGCCATGGTTGCAAGCTAGTCCCGTGAGTGTACCATGGCGTATACCATGCCATGGTATACCATGGTATACTGTGAAGTGTATGTGATAACACTCTACTCGCGCGGAATGTTTAGAAATACAATGTCATGCAGATAGATTGGGGTTATTTTCCTGCAAGCTGCAACAAGTGCATGCAGGGAGCTAAAACGAGATTACGTGCTTACTCCGGTATCGTAGTGCAGTGGAACCAGACAACCATTGGGACTAAATAATAAATATCCTATTCCCTAATATACCACGTTACGGAGAGGTGGCCATACACGTGGATGATTTGTTCTGTCGGGAGCACTGAGACGGTTTAAATCGGCTGTGCTGTCCTCCATTCGCCTCAACTCAAGTACAACCGGTTACTTGCCAAATACAACCACGTAATTATTAATTTTGTATGCCATGTAAGCTAACGACGGCCCACTAAGTCCGGACGTAGATCTACGTCTCATCTGCTTCAGCAGCGAGCCAGTAACTAATTGTGGACGCATTGCTTTCCAGAAGGAAAATGCTCTCGCACCACGGAAGGACACGTGCATGCCGCTCGCTTGCACTGATCATTGCGGTGCTCAAATGCCTGTCCATCATGCCAGCTAGCAGTTTCTCTCAGTACAGATTCGAGCATGAAGGAAATGCCATCCCCACCATGTCTCCGCCACACGCTAGCAACAGCAGTAATACCGGCGAGACAGGGTTCGCTATTCTGGAATCGTACGCCAACGTCAATGGGATATTTCCAGGCATCACAGCCACTGCGGCTAGTGGGCCAGTGCGCTCTGAGAGTGGGATTGGAGCATTGATGCCATGGGCTGACAGTTTATACATGGTAAGGGCTGGCCTGGATTCAGGCAAGTAACCAGGTAACTTAGTTCTAGTATCTGCACGTAGTTACGTGGCGTTGTATAGCTTAGCCATAGTAGGTGCTCATACCAGCAGGGGCGTCGGAAGGTATTTAAAAAATTTTTAGGGTGGTACAGTCAGCCATCTGAAGTACAGTTTACTTGTGGGGGGGGGGAGGTGGAGCCGAAAATTTTGGAAATTTAGAGTCCAGATCAGTGTATTTTATTGATTCACGGGGTACCTGGGGCAAAAAGTGGTACGGTCAATACCGTAGTGACCGTACCCTGTCCGACGCCCCTGCATACTGAGGTAGGAATAAAATAATATAATTCTATTTTTTTTAACTTGAGGAGGCGCGTAAGACAGAAGTCCTTGATCAAGAGTAAAGGTACTGCCGTGTAGTAGACGTGGAAATCCAGTCGAATGACCGAGGCCGGCGCCCCTCAGCACATACAGATCGTTGCATGCAGTGCACAATCAAATCGTGTTCATCTGATGCGACCAGCGCGCTGCAGCGCATAAAATGCATGTGTGTACCGCTTACCCACGGCTGCATGGCCAGCGCCCAGGGGCCGCTAGACTTGCGACCGGATTTCCGTGTCCACGGCAGTCACTGAGTACTGTAATAGTAGTCAAACACACCGACTACACAGTAGCCCATGCAGTGGCAATACACACTACACAGTAGCCCATGCAGTGGCAATATTTTGTGGGCACTTGCCTTCCCCTATGGTGGCACCCTGGCATGAACAAAACTTCCTAAGCTGCTTGTGCTTCAAAACACAAACTGTCGCCTGCAATGCTTATGTGTGAACTTAAACCGGTTACTTTACTTGCCCTCCGCTACAAATATTCAATTGCCTTAAAACTCACCCAGCAACATCATACATCACAGAACCTACATGTAGATGTAGATACTACATGTAGGAGGTTCCAGAATGGACACAATTTACTATTGCCGCATGGTCCATATGGTATAATGTCATGGCCACAATCAATACTGTAAAACGGGCAACGTTTGCGACAACATTTGTTTGCGTTTTACAAATTGAGACTGGTTTGCGCTGTTTAATGTTTGCGAGTCGTTCTACACAGTCGAGTCAGTCCTTGCACTGAACTTTGCATGGCACGAGTTTGCGTTGTTCAAAGTTTGCGATTCGGGGCCTCTCGCGGCAAAATTCGCAAACATTTTTACGTTGCAATAGTTACCTGTTTTACAGTATTCTCTTCAGACGTTTTCCGCTTCAATCTGACTCAGGCTATTATCACGGGGACTGGCCCGCCTCACAGACTATATTACTGTTACACACTTTGGGAGGGTTAGAGCAAAACCTGCAGTCTAAGCTGAACGCTCAATGGTAATCATGGTAACCCTCAACACATCAGGGCCTGTACACACTCGGGTGGTCGGTGGTATCCTTGCCCAAGACCATTGCCATGGAAGTGCCATTCCTTTCGTCCTGGTTCTAGTGATCTTCTGGGACAGGTGGGTCTCCTTGACAGGTGTTACTGCATGTGCTCTTGGTCATATTGAGTCTACTAGTATTGATATGGTTAATTGTTGTCTGATGATTGGTCTAATACTAGTAATAGGCAGTAACAGCCATGAAACTCCAGAGTGCCAACATGTTTTAATTTCCTCCATTGCAAACTTGTGTCGTTTGGCTCAGTCCTTGTGTCTCCATTGCAAACTTGTGTTGTTTGGCTCAGTCCTTGTGTCTCCATTGCAAACTTGTGTCGTTTGGCTCAGTCCTTGTGTCTCCATTGCAAACTTGTGTCGTTTGGCTCAGTCCTCGTGTCTCCATTGCAAACTTGTGTCGTTTGGCTCAGTCCTCGTGGTATCGAGCACTTTTGCAAGTACTTAGCAACATAGCTTGAGATATGGTTATTTGAATGGACTCGGATGGAGAGCCAAGGATTTATTTATACAAAAGAGAAAGGACCAAGGAACTACAAGAGCATGAGCTGATTGTTAAGTAACTGGTGGTGTTAGTGGACAGTATGCGGCGTAACTTGTAGTTCCTTGGTCCTTTCTCTTTTGTATATGGTTATTAGGTATGTTATCCCGATCATGTGCTTGTGTGAATCCTAGGTCAGTTATCTGTCAAATCCTCATGGTGGCAACGGCACTGGTTTCTACGTCATTGACAAGAACTTGAACATGACAAAGTTAGAAAATCACCAGTCAACTTACGCGAATCGCATGATCCACCCGCAGTCCAACACAGTCATCATCGGCGCCTGGGTCATAAGCACGAATGGCAGCTACAGGACATTTGAGTCACTGCTCCATGTCCGGGTTGGTGGAATGGCTGTACATCTGACCGACCCTGAACACAAGGTAGGTGCAAGATCCACTGTTTTGGCCAAAATAGCATGGCAGTGTTCCGAACCAGGGGTCGTAAAACATCGGTGTTTTACGACTCCCAGGTTAGATCAATTCAATATTATGACCATCCCGGAGTCCCTGTCTCCCTGTGGCGACGCAAATACACTTACACTACTTTTGGCATACGTCGTAGTCTGTGCAGACTCGTGAGTGTCACAGTGATAAAGCCACACATGTCCAGGAGCAACACGTCCTGTTTTTTTCTCTCCTGTGGTTGCCTTCTAAACAAATGCTATACATTACATTGTCCTTCAATGCAAACAAATGTGTGGGGAATTTGCAACAGCTATGGATTGAGTATTATACTGCGGTCTGTGTACTATCCCACGCAGGTGTACATGCTTGGCATGGATGGTCCACTGTGGGAGTGTGATGTGTACGACATGAACTGCACACAACTATTTGACTTGGTCAAGGAACTTGCCATTCCGACATCATCTGGTGAGCAGGTTCACTTCAAGGCAGCACACAGCATGAATGGACGGCTGGTTGTAGCCTCCAATACGGAAGAAGAGGATGACTTTCTTGGAACAGCTCATGGTGGTAGACTGGCAGAGTGGCAAGGACCTGGTCACGAGTGGGCAATTCTGGCAAACACGGCATTCACAGAGGTCACAGGGCGTGGGAATTTTGGAAAAGTCATCTACGCGGTTGGCTGGGATGCCAAGTCTCTTATTCTGAAGACATTTGTTGGTAAGAACAGCATGATATCAAGCTTTGCTTATACTGTGGTATGAAAAACCTTACACACACCATCTTCAAATCAAGTGTCTCTTCGCTGCAAATTATAAGGTCTCAATCAAATTTTCGGCCAGGAGCTATCATCAGGATTGAGGAGAAAAACAAGTGAGGTAGACCTATATCAGGCAACACAAAGTGGAACGAAACTATACCATACGTGATAAAATTGCACCATCCTTTCGGCACAGGCACACACACACATACCCACGCACACACACATACCCACGCACATGCCACAAACACTGAGACCCACACTGATACTCACACTCGCACCAACAGTCACTCGCACAAGCTCACACTCGTACTCCAAATCACACCCACACTCACACGCGTGTAACAAAAGACACACAAAAACACCCCAATGTGCCTGAAAACAAGGTGTGAAATAGTGGTGGGACTATGACAAAAAGAGATGAGATTCCGTCACTCAACTGCACTTACGCTACAACATTGTGCTGAACTGTATAACAATGGCGTGAACAAGCACACCTGACAACAGAACAGTGGCAATAGTAACAGTGATGATCATCCAAAATTTTCACATTGTCAATTGTCAAGCAATACCCAACCACGATCATTGTTCACCTTCAGATGGCGTCTGCAGATGTGGATTGCCTCCCTTATCCGGCGGTTCACGCACGACACGTCCGTTGTGAGTATGGATGGTCATGTGAAGGGAATGAATGGCGCTGTGTATGGATGGTCATGTGAAGGGAATGAATGGCGCTGTGTATGGATGGTCATGTGAAGGGAATGAATGGCGCTGTGTATGGATGGTCATGTGAAGGGAATGAATGGCGCTGTGTATGGATGGTCATGTGAAGGGAATGAATGGCGCTGTGTATGGATGGTCATGTGAAGGGAATGAATGGCGCTGTGTATGGATGGTCATGTGAAGGGAATGAATGGCGCTGTGTATGGATGGTCATGTGAAGGGAATGAATGGCGCTGTGTATGGATGGTCATGTGAAGGGAATGAATGGCGCTGTGTATGGATGGTCATGTGAAGGGAATGAATGGCGCTGTGTATGGATGGTCATGTGAAGGGAATGAATGGCGCTGTGTATGGATGGTCATGTGAAGGGAATGAATGGCGCTGTGTATGGATGGTCATGTGAAGGGAATGAATGGCGCTGTGTATGGATGGTCATGTGAAGGGAATGAATGGCGCTGTGTATGGATGGTCATGTGAAGGGAATGAATGGCGCTGTGTATGGATGTTGTAGTGGATGGTGAAATGCGTAGTCCTCTCCCCAGCGTTTCTGCGGTGCACAGACTCTCGCTTTTCTGCAATGCTCCTGGAATCGCTCCCTGACACATCGCTCCGTCTCTCCCACATACTCCTCTCCACAAACGGAACAAAACATTGAATAGACCACATTCTGGGACATACACTGACCGTCACTCATACCAACATCACATGCATGGCATTCCACTGGCCCTCCCCCTTCTCTCAAAGTTTGCCTTCCTTCTGTGCACTTCTCGGGGGCACTCTGGACTGGCAAACGAGGAAGACACCAACATGTCTTTCAGGGACTGACCAGACTTAAAGACAACACGGACATTCTTGCTGTACGACCGAACTGTACGACGAACGTCATGGGCTAGGCGATCGTTGATGAATGGGAGTTTGAGGATGGATGTATGTATTCTTTGTGCGGTTGGTGGCTTGTCTTCGTACGGATGCTCTGCCTTTTGCTGTTTGTATCTCTGGTTGCAGATAGGCATTCTCTTGTAGTAGCTTAGTGATCTTCTCTTCTCCTCTACTGCTCTACTTAAAGTCATCTTTGCTGTTTTAAACTTGGCTGGGATGCCAAGTCTCTTATTCTGAACACATTTGTTGGTAAGAACAGCATGAAAACAAACTTTTGTTAAATAGTTCTGACCAGATTTGAAGCTCTTTTCCTCGGTATCAGTTTCAACGGCGTTTCCGAAATTTGCCACCAATAGGTTGCAATATGGGCAATTTGCCTGCCGAACTGTCATTAAAGGGGAAGTATACCCTAAAATCAAATTTTCACCAGTTGTAGTCTTCTGGGTGCTGAGTCGAATGGTCTTGGTCCGAGGAAGCTGCGATGCTCCCTTCCTGCTTGAATCCCAATCGAACTCGCGCACTTCCACCGAAACTGGGTGACTGCGCCCTACTAGATGGGGATTTGTATGCAAAATGTCACTAAAAGCGCCATTTCGTTCTTATAAAAGCACGGATGACCGCGATTGGCCCATATGTTGTAGTCTTTTGGACGCTGAGTCGACTGGTTTTGGTCCGAAAAGGCTGCGATGCAGCGTTCCTCCTTTATTCCCAATCGAACATGGTTGAACAAGCGGTCACGTGCTCCTGGGTGCCCAAATCACCTGGTCACCGCGCCAGCAGGCGACAACTTTCACACCAAGGTTCAACTCGAGTTCAACTCGAGTGACAGGACTGCACCCAAAAAAGGTCAAACAGGCTAGTAAGTTGTACCCTGCAGGCACGGTGACCACTGACCAGCTGACTGGTGTGCGCAGGAGCACGTGACCGCTTGTTCAACCATGTTCGATTGGGAATAAAGGAGGAACGCTGCATCGCAGCCTTTTCGGACCAAAACCAGTCGACTCAGCGTCCAAAAGACTACAACATATGGGCCAATCGCGGTCATCCGTGCTTTTATAAGAACGAAATGGCGCTTTTAGTGACATTTTGCATACAAATCCCCATCTAGTAGGGCGCAGTCACCCAGTTTCGGTGGAAGTGCGCGAGTTCGATTGGGATTCAAGCAGGAAGGGAGCGTCGCAGCTTCCTCGGACCAAGACCATTCGACTCAGCACCCAGAAGACTACAACTGGTGAAAATTTGATTTTAGGGTATACTTCCCCTTTAAGAGGAAAGGAGCATGTGAAGGGCTCCAATTCTAAACGCGATAAAGACCAAACTGGAGCTTTTGCGGGTTTTTGTCCCGAAAGAATTCGTTTTCGCCCCACGGACGTCTGTGTGTCGGTTTTGCGGGTCACAACGCGATACATCCCAGTCAAAATAATGCCTGATGTTTTTGTTCTTCTTCAAAACGCGATAAAAGTCACTGATGCTGCAGTGCAGCCTGAAAAGAAAAAGAAAAAGAAAAAATGCACTTCCTGAAATTTCCACAAAATGGATTTATCTCGTTTTGAATTGGAGCCCTTCATGTGTGTTCAACATTCCTCATTGATTTATGAAGCTGCATGATGCCTCACCGCCATTGCATAGGAATTGAAATGCTCACTCTTTGCCCATATAAATTGCTGTTTGCACAATGTGGGCTGTGTGGTATGGTTGCATGTGAAGTTCGAGTTGTAGATGTGATGGCCCCACCTGCAGCAACGCAATGTGCATCAAAGTGCTCAGTTCAGATCTTTCGGTAGCCATACTACGGGTGCCAGGGAAAGTGAAATGACTTCCCGCGCAAGCTTAGACAAAATGAATATCGCCTTATGTTTATTGAGAAGAGAAGGGGCCAAGGAACTACACGTTACGCTATAATGTCCACTAACACAACCAGTTACTAAACGATCAGCTCGTGCAACATAGCGTAACTTGTAGTTCCTTGATCCTTTCTCTTCTCTATAAATTTATCCTTGGCTCTCAATCCGAATCTCCTTATGTGAAACTCGGATGTTGAGCCAGTAATAAATGTAGAAAGGGAAGGACATAATTATGGATACGAGTTTAGAGTAACTGTCCATCACTGTAAGGGAGCATCTCATAAGTTCGCATTTTGTTTCTAAACGTAACGCATTTCGAAACGGGGGTAGGGGGGTAGCGCCCTTTTCGAATAGAAAATGACTGTTCGCACATTTTCTGGAACTGTACAATCTACTACCGTGCTAGATCCCTGCAGCAAATGAGTGTGTTTAGGTGGAGATCTACCTGTGTTTGCAGATCAGCTAACCCTTGCACTGCATGCATGCAGGCTACTCAGAGGTGTCAAATGTCACACCAGCCTGATCAAACCATGTACCTGGCCAGCGTTTACAGCAGTACAGTTGTTGTGGAGGAACTATGTTTATGTGCGTGTACCTGTCATTGATTGTACTTGTACTCAGTAAATGCAGTACTACTCTAGTAACTGTATGCCATTCACGACCGCTCTAGCAAAACATTCATATACATGTACATGACTGTATAATCATGTACATAAGCATACCATAGTATGGGGCATGGACGTGTACAGTAGATAAACACAGAAAATGTGCGATAAGACTTTCGAATAGAGGGGGGAGGTAGGGGGGTAAAGTCTATTCGAAATGCGTTACGTTTGCAAAATAAATGCGAACTTATGAGATGCTCCCTAACGAGATACTACATACAGTCAGAAAGTGCAACAACTAGGCACGAAACTGACAGAGTACTAAGACATTCGACGACCCGACACCTAGCTTCAACATATCTCCGTAGCGCTAACCAACAGCCGTCATGAACCATACGGCGAAACGTACGTCGTGTGCAACTATTTGTTTTGTAGTTTTGTAGTCCATCACAATGGCATGCATGAGAAGTACTGTAGGAGTTTGGCGTTCAGTTTTGTACAATTCGTTTTCGCAAAGCCTCCCTTCTGTACTTATCTTTGATACTTCTGAGCCACCCAAGTTGGGTGGTGTGCTGCTTTGCTGCTTCGAATTGTAGTTAGACGGCTTTGTCAAGTATCTTACTGGTCTCGTCATCGTTCAGTAGCAATCGACAGTCTTCGTTCCCATGGGACTGTAGCTTGTGCTCATTTTCGTTGCGCTTGCCTTACCCTCTTTGGCCTCTCCTTAACCTAGAACCTTCCGAGTTGGAAGGCTGTTGGTTAGCGCTGCAGAGATGTGTTGAAGCTAGATGTCAGGTCATCAAATGTCTCTGTACTCTGTCAGTTTTGTGCCTAGTTGTTGCACTTTCTGACTGCATATAGTATCTAGTTACAGCGGTGGACAGTGTATCCATATGTCCTTTTCCTTTCTACATCTCCTTGTGTTTATGCCTTTTCTGCGCCAGGTGATGCCAAATCTGGTCCGGTAAAACAATGGTTGACGTATCGCTTGCCAAAGGCATCACATGCTTACGACCACCTGTGGCAGACGGAGTGGCCACGTATTCGCGAGGTGGAAACCGAGCGCTACTTGATGGACGGGCTGGGGCAGTTCTATGAGCTTTCCCCTCTTGGCTGGGCCAGCGCTACCTGGGGTATCCGTCCTGTGTGCAGACACCTCAGGATGATACCTGACTTTGCATCCTATAGAGGATTTCTAGTGCTTGGCGGAAACCAGGTAAGCAGAACATGTTGGACTCCACAAATGGAGTTCTTGATGGTGTGAGGCTCGTTCAGAAACTTCAGATGGATGCTGCATGAGCTAGGTACCGCGACTTCTACTGTAATGTACTGTACGAGCGCCCCAACAGCTACCGCCTCCCCTTGTGGTTGTGTTCTGGAGGTAGGTTCCAGTCTATAGGTCATTCGACGCGTACATTGTACACACATTGAACAACGTGCTGTCAATCCGTAGATCTACTCAGTGTAACTTCGAGAGCGGATATGAGAGCTCCACGCAACAACATGCCGGCTAAGTGTGACCTTAGTGCACTACTAAGGCTCTCAAACAATGCAAACTAGTTGAACTTTGCGATATGGTTTTCCTTTCCCTGGCTGTAAAACCAAGGTGGGGTGCTCTTGCAGTACTTTACGGTAATTCCATGACGTTAAATTGGTACATTGTATGTGGGAGACAGATGCTTGTGTTGTCAACTCAACCTCAGGTCACTACAGCCTGCGTCAATTAGGTTGGGGGTATATCGGATAGACTAGTCCATGTACATGTAGGTAAGCGTGCCGCAGCACCCCCAACCCTGGTCGTACCACTCCACACTGGCCTGTAACGCCCCGAACCCTGGTCGTACCACTCCACACTGGCCTGTAACGCCCCGAACCCTGGTCGTACCACTCCACACTGGCCTGTAACGCCCCGAACCCTGGTCGTACCACTCCACACTGGCCTGTAACGCCCCGAACCCTGGTCGTACCACTCCACACTGGCCTGTAACGCCCCGGAGCATCGTATCGTCCGACCAACCAGTACATGCGTGCACGGTTTTGCCACATTACTGTGGCACAATAATGAGCTTTGGTGTACATGTATGTGTGCCTGCAGGTGTCTCCTATCCGAGACAATAACGTGGTGACAGGCCAGGCTCAGTCCGGCCTCTGGTTCGGAAAGACAGATGATCTGTGGCGTTTTGGCAAGCCACAGGGCTGGGGCGGTGTGTGGAGGCAAGACCAAGTGGCAGCCAATGCAATTTCGGATCCGTTCCTTATGACGGGCTTTGATGAAAAGGTTAGTCCGGTTAGTGCTGCTGTAGCATGTATAAAAGCACCCTGGTAACAAGCATGAACAAGGCCGTTGCTGAATGCAGAAGTCAGTCGGCCTGGGCACTGGACACTGTGAAGTACTTCTGAAGTAGTAAGATGTCTCTGTTTACCTTATGTCAATGTTGAGCTGATGACAGTTTGAAAACTACCAGGGTAGATAGAGTAGGGAAGAAATTCTCTAGATCTACTAAAGTTCGCCATGCCACTGCCAGTGCATTGCCAAGCTGCAGGTCTCTTACCTATTGACTGGTGACATTTTGCGGAAGTTTTCATTGAGTCATATACTTGCCTCAGCGGTGCCGATTGGCGCAAAACGTCAATGGTCAAAAAGCAACGGCTTGGCATACAATGCGGCTCCATTACAGGTTCAAGTTGTTGGCCATCTGGAGACACCTAATCTGCACTGTGGACAGAGGATCATCTTCCCGTAAACAGTGAAATTCAGACAACTGGCAATGCTAAACTTACTAACTTTCACAAGTATTGTGTGGTATGTACTGTTGTTTGTGTGCTTGTACCCGACAGGTGTTACATATCACAACGCATAACACTGTACACCCGCAGGCATTCATCACAATTCAGGTGGATTTCCTGGGCACCGCCGGGCACGTCAGCGGCGAGAGCTGGGTGAACTACACAACGGTGGAGCTGCCGGCCAAGGGTTACGACTATGTGGCATTCCCGGATGGATTCAGCGCACATTGGGTACGCCTAGTCAGTCAATATCCAGCAATTCTGACGGCGTATTTCCACTACTCATAGAAAATAGCAACTATGGGTGCTCCGATAGCGTGACTACTGCTGAATCTGCTCCATTCTACCCGTGCATAGTATGATACGGTGGTGATGCTGTGGCTTACGTGATACTCTATGACAGCATAGCACTTGATGCAGTACTTCATGATCTACTGTGGTCTCCATTGACAATGATAACTGGTTTGTAGACCATGGTGGATTATTAACTGTTAGTGATGGCATCAGTGCAATGTGGGTGAACGAGGACGCACGATCATGGGATACGCACATAATGGTGTATGCCACATTCAGGTTTTGCCTCTCATCAATTCGTCACATCTCTTATAATGTACCGCAGTGGATTCCTCAGCAATCTTTGACCATGCAGATAACAGTGCATTATCACAACCGTTCAAACTATACTTGATGCAATACAGTTGCAACCGGTAACTTGCTTTACAACCTGTACAATGTAATGTAATTATAATAATGATGTAATTATGTACACTTGACTCAACTAACTGCTGGTACAGTAGTATGGTAATGCACATTACAAGCGCCTGCCATACACACTGCATTTTTAATAGTAATTTCTAAATAATATTATTTCTTACATGACAGTTGATTGGAAAGTATTACACTTTATTTCTGCGCATCCTGGAGCGTATGATTGTACTTTATATTTAGCGTGATGCACTGTAGAAGCCTAGTACAGAGGCAGCAAAATGCAGTTGAGGTTGCATGGGCTGGGAATCCGAGGTATGCTTCGGGGGGGGGGGTAAAACGAGAACACTATGTTGTACCAATGTGCTAATGAGCATTCACTTGCTACTTATTCAGAGCACAACATACCTAGGTACTATATCCCATATGGCTATGCCCAAAGCGGATGAATAAGTGAGATGAGCTTGGGACGTAAACTCATTGGTAACTGTTATCTGGGCAAGCAAAGGGCTGAATTTCAGGATTTGCAAGACCCCAGCAGAAGGATGGCTCTTCATTCATCAGTTGCTTTTGTCGCATACAGTATTTGTTGGGAAATGCTCTCATCAATCATCCTCTTGTAAGGTTTTGGAAACTAAAATTGGTGGCAACCAGCTACACGCCCAGTGGATCCATGACATTTGCAACCATTTGAATTAGTTTTTCTTTTCTTTTCAGTTCCCCATAATCGAAATGATGGTGGAACCAAGACAGCTTTGGCATACACTACAGCAAAACAAAAACAAGCTACAGAGAAGATCTTGTACAGAGGACAAGAGAGCGAAAGAAACAATTCAAAGAAGGGGGAGTTCCTGCTGGCAGTAGGATCTGCACCATTATTGTACAAGGGAAAAAAACTAGATGTGACCAAAAGCCCACGATGGGAAATAAATTATTCATGACCGCCGGTGGGGCATCTAGTCAAATAAAATAAAAAGCCCGGGCCGGGGTCAACACTAGGTGCTGTGAGTGCACTCTCACGACGGAGATAGCCCGCACATACCAGCCTAGTAATACACTCATGGGTAGGCACATGTACAGCCCAGACCTGCACTTGACTGTCGGCTTCGCTGTACAACGCAGCACCGCTGATCAACATCCACCCACCCACACACTCACACACACACACACACACACACACACACACACACACACACACACACACACACACACACACACACACACACACACACACACACACACACACATCAGCATGGTGTGTATGTATTTTAGAGTACGGCACACAGGCTGCAAACGGATGACGCCAGCAAAATAGGTTTGCTACAGTCATCTATCTAATAGAATGATCAAGCAGCGGAGCAGCCGTTCACCTCATCAGCTGTGAAGTGATGTATACACAATTATCCATAGTGCCTGCAGGTACAAAGAAAGGTACACAAGATGCCACATGGCCACAAGTAGTTTTTATAAGTACTGGTATGCACACCGGACCCTACCTTTTGATTCAACAGTAGACGAGGCCAACAGCAATTAGAAAAGGGCTGCACAGTGATGGTGGGGATACTCTAGCAATGCGCTTGGAGACGCGGTTCTGTTGACAAACAAGCACCGTGCCCTTTTCTGCAGTACACTCTGAGTACTCTGGGTACGCTGGCTAGCTTCGCAATGGGTTATGTGTGGAGAAAGGACAGCAGCTAAAACGCTTCTGGTTTCCCGCTACCATATGTGGATTTTGAACTGAAAGGGCTCGAAATAATTGAAGACGACACGACACAATATTTCTGAGTTCTACACAGCAGACTCAGCGGAGGACGTTCAGGTGGGTTGTAACTCCGAGTTCAATGCTGTGAGACAATCATCAGAGCTTGCTTCTGAGTTCCACCATACTCTTTCTCAATTATTAGTACAGTTTTGCATTTCAAAGAAGAGCACCGAATATACTGCGACTCGGTCAACCAGTAACAGATTCCCACAACCAGTGCACCGATGTAAGACCTTTTTGAAAAAGGGCTTTCATCCAGCTTTCCGGGGGAAATCTTCAGATTTGATGACAACACAGTGAGTTGCTACTTGCTAGGATTACAGAAGAAGGAATAGTGAAAGATGAGTGTGTACAAGCTAGGTACCCCTGCACAGCAACTATCTTAGCAGCCATACCGGCATGTAGAGTAGAAGCAGAACAGAAGCACGTCTACGTACCACAAATGTTGCCGCCGACGTCATGAAGCCTTCTTTTAGAATTTCCTGAATGCCACCAAAGTCATCCTCATTGATATCTTGGAATTTGCTGATATAGATGAAAGTAAGCAGTGAGCTGAAGCCAGCAAATCTACAACATCAAAAAAGCATGGTTATAAGGGATAAGAACACACCACAACAATGACCGTACCATGGTACAGTAAAGCCTGTGTTTGCCAGACCCTGTGCCAAGAGGAATCCTGTATTGACCGGACAGGTTTTCATGCACCAAAGTGCTGTGGATCGAACGTGCATCCCTGGATCAAGGGCGTCCGGTTAGGGCAGGTTTTACTGTACAATAGGCGGCAAGAATCAAGAAAATGAGAAGGAGGATTACGTACAGGGAACGGTAATCGTATGGTAATGTTACTACAGTCCATTTCAAAACTATAGACGCGTACCTAGGCAAAAACCGTTATGCCAGCATTTATCCCACATAAAATCTGTGATCACTTTGTGCATAATTTTTTCCAAATTGGGCGTCTGTTATCCAATTGTTTAGAAACTATATGAGAGTAATTGTGGAGCGGACCTGAGCAATATTCCGAAAACTATTCTCAAAAAGTTCCAGCCAAATTTGAAATATTTCAAAAACACTACGCGTCTATAGTTTTGAAATGGACTGTAGTACACAAATGCTGACAGGTATAAAAGGAAATTCTCAAAAGTCACATTTGCTCCTGAGCCCATGCAAAGCCAAGAGAAGCAGTCCCTTGACCGGCATTCCATACGAGTTATGTAACACTCTACCACAGAGCATGCGAGTGTGCAGGCAATGCACATGCAAGACCACTAGACAGGTTAGGTTGGTAGTGTCCCTTGGCTACCACAAGATACCGTGAAACAGCTCAGTAGAACATACCCTGGACATAGCACATTACGGGACAAAGTATCGTATTTAGGACTTTTCATTGTTACACCAATCATTAAATCTTGGATATACTTCGTATGTACACGTAGAGTAGCTCGACTACAAGTACTAGTACAGACTGTTCTGTATCCCAGAGGGGGTAGGTTTATTACTGCACATCAACTCGACACTACACTAGACATCTACATTCCACAACAACAAAGGAGGACACAAATACTATACAGACAAAACAAATACGCTTGGACAAAGTCTGCAGCTTCATAAGAATGAATTGCAGCGCAGTGCTGACAGGAGGCTAGGAGTCCGCACCTTGTACATGGAACTACATGATACTCGACAAGGAAAGAACGAAAGTATGATAAAAATGCACATAGACTTACGACAGCAACCCTAGGGCACCATACAGAGGTATGACACCCCATACTATGCCAATGACAAAGGCAATTATCTGACGGAACCAGTACACAACGTCCAGAAAGTCGTCCTGGAAAAGAGCAAGCATGCACATGAACGCACGCACACACACACACACACGCACGCGCACGCACACACACACACACACACACACACACCACACACACCAACACACCAACACACAAACACACAAAACATGTTCTACTTTGAAGTAGCAACATTAGAGAATCAGGCATACAGTACAGTAATACACTGAAGAACATTGAGCCCAAGAATGGCCAGCCTGGAATACAGTACCAAGGACACCACAGCCTAAAGAACAAAAAGCGGTCATGGTGTTCTGCTGTCCTGGAATACAGCCACTGCTACATGTGTGGGCAATATACTAAACTGCATTACAAGTATAAGATCCAGTTATGTACTGGCAGCAGGATGGGAAGAAAGAACGCCAGAGTATAGTGCGCATTTTAGATGACCTATTTCAGGCCCCAAATCACAGATGCGCACTATGCTCCGAATATGAGAATGTATGCACTTCGAAAAGTAGTGCAATGTATCAAAGTGTTGCGAAGTTTTCCACCTCCGAGTCTCTGACCCGGCATAAGTCATATCATGGCTTTCGTGGTATCTTCTGCCAGCTACACTGTAAATGCAAGATGGGTCCAAGACCCCACAGGTAGCACATGTATTATACAATTGTACACTTGTTAATAATTTTACGATCATGTTGTCAATGGTCTCATTATAATACTGTCTTTATAATCCTTAATTTTCTCAAATCTAGGCAGCGCATTATACTCCGGATATACCTGGGGCTTATGCATAATACTCCCGTCATTTGATCTTGAGGGACAAGTCCACTAAAACGGTACACACTGTGACACCAATCCTGCAAAGGTCATAAACTGTGTACGATCATACCCACAAATGTATTACAACTGGCTGTACCTGCCAAATGTGGGACAAGTGGCCCCTCAGGAAGGTGGCGGCCATGTTTATGCATAAACCCCAATCCAAAACATTGGTCAAAAAAGGGGGTTGCGCATTCTACTCAGGTGCGCATTATGCCTCGACAAATACGGTGATATAACAGCCAAATTGCGGAAGAACAGTCTTGATGAACAAGTAAGAGCTTACCAAGGCTCCCCTGTCTGCACATTGCTGAGAGCGTATGTAGTTCCTGAGTCATGTACATGTACATGCCCACATACAACACAGGGATGAAACATTTGCATGTATTGTCATGGTCATGGTCATCCATGCAGTACAATGTACTGTTGAACATTGATTATCCGACCACCTCTGCGCAGCGGGACCTGGGAAGGTGTTCGGGTAATGAAAATGTTCCGGATAAGGAAAATCTCACCACAGGCCGATACCTGTGTTCGGTATATCACAGTACCCGCAACAAGTCGTTTTCATGTTAGTTTTTGTAAGTTTTCGACTGTACAGCCTGTACACAGTGGTACAGGCAGCCAGTGTAAGCCGCAGCAACTAACTTTTCGTGAAAGCTCCCGTACGAAAATGCGTAGCCCAAGCTGCCATGTGCAGTTCGAAAACCCATTTGAATGGTCGGATAATCGATGTTCGGATAATCAATGTCCAACTGCACTGTGAGTCCATGTGCCGTGACTGGTTAGTGCTGCCCAGCAGTGCACTTTCATCCGTTCAGGTCAAGACTACAAGAACAGTATATCCATTGAAAGAAAGGGGGGGGGGGGGGGTGAAGAGTGCCTTACTTCGACTAGATTGGCGCAAGTAATACCAGAGAATTGAATGTTTATTTTCTAATACCGGTACTGGTGTGAAAAATCTACTGATGCATGAAGGTGAATGTTCATTTTCCCACCATCAATCAGCAATGGACCAGTCCATTGGCAACACTGACAATTCTCCAAGAAAAATGTCAGTAGAAATAGAATCACACAGATCTACACCGTGTACCTATTCACTCTACCCATCCACAGTATGAAAACTCATCATAGTTTGAATGACCAATAATAGACATTTCCAACGCCCCAAGAAGCACAAATTGCAAGCACGTACTTTATCCTCCTCAGAAAAGGATCGACGAACAAACACGTACTTCCACATCTGAGAGTCACTGGCCATAATGCTTCTCTTTACGATTATCAGATAAAGTGTTCTAGCATGCTATTTCTAATTTCTATTTCGAGCTCTGAAAACAAAAAATGAAACATTGAATCGACCTTCAAAAAACACGACGATCGAGACTGATCGTGATATGATACGACGTGACGTGACGTCGACGGCATGCCAAGGAAAAAAAGTTTCCTCGCGTTTTTTTCTTCGTTCTCTGCATGCAGACCTCGCTCGAGCGCTCGCGGTCTGCATACCTGTGCTGCTATGGTATGGTGATCGCTTGCCTACAAGTACAACACTTTTTGTGCAGGAATAGTCTGGGTACATAATGACTAATGTACATTGTACTCGACACAGCGGCTACTGACTGCATGCAGTGATGGAGCTAGCTGGGAGTGTGAAGCAGATGTTCGAATGTGTGGTGCGTTTATGAACCTTTGCTTCGGTCCGCTCACAACCTCAGTCCTGAGATTTGTACGGTCGGAGGAAATCAGAAGTTCCAGGCAGACGTCTCCTCCGATGTAGCAGTGCTCAGCACTGCCAGCAATCATGGCTACGGCGGACGGCGATGGATCGAAGAAGCGAGCTCCAGCCATCATAAAATTAGCCGTACAATGGGACAACAAGCAGCCTGTTCTTTACGATTTTGACCAGGTGAGTGCAGGGTTGTGATCAGGACTGCAAAACTGGAGAGGAGTGTTTGCAGGCGTCCGCCAACAGCGCCGTGTCGGCCTTTCCGTGTGTGTGCTCGCGCGCGCGCGCGCGTGTGTGTGTGAGCCACGTTTGCACATCTCTCTTCTTGCTCCTGAGTATTGCGTATTATGTTTTTCTACTCGTGATGAACGCTGCAGAAACAACCACTCGCGGCGATCGTACGGGCTATGTGTCAAAGGTAATGTTCTTGTCATCTTGAATTAGTTCCAGCAAGTCTTGCTGTATCTTGATGATGTTGTCTTGGTCATGGGGAATAGGGGCATGAACTACTCTGTCTCTTCGCTCCTTCTGACAGCTCGGTCGCAATCTCCTATTTTGCGGAGAAATTGCGCCCTGACGCTGATCAGATATGCACTATTTCATATAGGGTCATTCTGTGCTGTTACAACTTTCAAATTATTATAAGTACGAGACTCGTATTGTCGGTTAGTACTCGTACTGAGCATGAGACGGTGCTTGCACTTGTAATTGTATAGCAGTCCCTGATCTGACAATCCTCTCTCAAAGTTTCGGACTTGACCTTGCGGGTGGGAATCTGGGAGGCGGCTTGCTTGGATATCGTGAAGTGTTCCGGCAGCCAGAAAGTGCGTGGATTGCGGACACGTATCTTCATGGAATTGATACGTTGAGACACAATGCGGTCCTTGAGCTTGGCTGCGTGCCGTTCCTAGTAGGTGCAGTCCAGAGATTTGTTTCACAATCGATCTGTGTGCTGCATTTGTAGAGGGGAACAATGTCAAGCCAGGCGAACTGGCTCTCTAGATCTGATGTATCTTGACTGAGTGCAATATATTCCATTCAGAGTTTTTCACTTCAATTTAAACTGAAAACTGTCAAAGTCAAAGCTCTGTTGTAGCAAATTTATGCTCTAACTAAGGAAAGCAGGGAGTCGTAGCATCTGGGGAGAGAACACGGTCGATTGTCACGTATAAAACAATGTGGGTTTCTAAGGGCATGTTCGATTGTACGAATCCATCAGCCCCGGACCCGGATTCGCCAAATTCGTACATGTTCGATTGTACGAATCCGGATCCCGAGAGCACGGATTCGGATCCAGTCAACCCACCTCCCAGAGACGGATTCGACGGATTCATTTCCATGGAACGACTCATATCTACTCAAAACTCCCAATATGCGTACACTAGGTCAAGAGTTCACCACAATTCGTACATATACTACGGGATGAGCTGTAGCAACGCGGTTGCTAAGACTATGAAACGGATTATCGGTTGTGCACATTCGATTGTATCCGTCCGATCGAAGTGATCTGATCGGCGGGGATCGGGATCCAGTTTATACAATCGAATGCAGTCTAAGGTTTCTCTCCCGATCTGCTGTTCCAGTCGCCTAGGGCCAGGGATAGTACCGAGTTACTAGTGTACACACGTCCATGTGGCACTTGCACTGCTGGTCTGGGCTACGCTTGAGGTCAACAGGTCAAGGATGCAATCATGAGTTGCATAGACCACAGCCCTTCCTAAGTTAGGCTAACCTGGGGTTGAACTGTCGACTGTAACGTGATCACGCGTGAGCTTCGCTCCCGAGCTCCCCATTGCAGTCGCCCTGGGTTCAGGTCTGCTTTGTACCAGGGAGTCGTAATTTTACAACTCCCTGGTTTGTACACGCTCACGCACTCGCTGGACTGGCCTGTGCTTGGGGTCAGCGGGTCAGGGCTATGATCGTGAGTTGCGTAGACTACAGATCACGTAGAGCTTTCAAATGCGGGGGTCGAAATGCACATCGGGTACTATGATCTCATGTCGTCTCCCCACAAAAAAAATGTTATGACTCCCTGATGGAGTAAAGATGTGTGGCGATGACATGTTGGCAGCGCAGTGTGTGTATGTGTGCGTGTGTGCGTGTGTGTGTGTGTGCCCGCGTGTGCGAGTGGGTGTGGGTGTTGCGATCATGTGTCAACCCACTCCAACTGTCTGACCCTGTCAATTTGCACAATTTTGAGTGGCAAGTAAAACTCAAACTGATGTACTGCTGCAGTTCTAAAGGTCCTGCAGCCTGGACGTCCTTAGCAATTATAGGACCCACACACACACACACACGCACGCATGCACACACACGTACACATACACATGAAGCCATCAAAATCAGTTCATGGCTCTGAATTGTGCATCAGTCTGTATTTCACTTACTCGAGTGCTGCAAATAGATAGGCTTAATGTGCTGCTGTGTGCTGCCTCAGCCTGGCAGCAGATAAATACACACACTCCCATCATAGCATCTACAGACAACACTGTCACGTAAATAAGAATTTGCAGCAAAGAAACCAAAAAAGCTGGCACACTCTTTGTTCTACCAATCTAAGAACATGGATAATGTAAGCAGGGGCATTACTAACCTTCTGTTACTGCTGTGCTGTGTTGGTTTCTGCTGGAATCATGCCTTATGTGCAGATGGGGTATTCAGAATGCAGACCGGTTTGCCTTTAAGCACATGGATACCAACACGTACATCACGGAAAAGGTATGCCTACTCATCTGTACATTTGCCGCACCGATTGTGCGCTATCTACCACTCTGGAATTATGGAGAGAGTATGTCGAGGTTCGCTTGGCGAGAGCATGAATACGCGTACTGTAGCTGCGCTATTCAAGTCGACAAGCTAAACAAGTTGCATGTTTTGTGTCAAGATGCTGCTGACGTGAATATGAAGTCCTGCATGTTCGCACTCAGGTTGACACAACGCAGTACTGTGTGTGGCGACATTTTGCTTTGCCGCAAATGTGGCCTTTCGCCCAGCAAGTCAACACATGCGCAACACAGAACATTCTTCACAAAACGCCAAATGCACATTGGTCGACCCTTGCGTGGCTGAGGCCTCACGCGTTTGTGGTGTGGACTGTCATGACCTCGCACTCCTCAATGTAAATTGTGGCAAGTGAAATTCATGTTTTCTCACGGCTGTGCATGGCTTTGTAAGATCCAGACCCTGCTTTCAAGTCGGATAGAATGGTTCTTCTGTTTCTCCTTTCTCTGACGGGAGCAGCTGAGAGCCGTGTTTATACGGGTGCACCCATTGCCTAATTTCTGCTGTGGCTATGATCGTAACGTATTTGCGGTTGGTTACATGCCTGTCCACGTGTATGTGTCTGTGTGTATGTATGTGTTTGCGTGCATGTGCGTGCTTGTGTGTGTGTGTGTGTCTGTGTGTGTGTGTGTGTGTGTGTGTCTGTGTGTGTGTGTATGTGTGTGTGTATGTATGTATGCGTGTGTGCGGTGTTTGTAGAACCGTCAAAATCTTGCCAATGGAGTGATTCTGAAGTTGGCGTTGTCTCCGGTGAGTGATCAATTTTAGACTTGATGTGACATACCAGTAGCAATTCAACATGTGTCCTGCTTTCGAAGCACACCATCCATGTTGTACAGTACATGCTCACACATTTCAGACCATAACTAAAGTAAAATGTGTTGGGCCACACTTTGATTCTGTTCTGTTTCGCAGTATTTCTGATTCAGAATGGTGAAGGTTTATTGTTATGATCGTGGCTGCTGTACGCTGCTTCTATTATTTTATTCTCACCATTGCTGCTGCTGCTCCTGCTGCTGTTGTTGTTGCTGCTGTTGCTGTTGGTTATAATTCAGGCTATTGAAGCACGGGATACGTTTGAGCTTCTCCGAGACTCGCCCGCCAATGACTCGCAGATAATGCGAAGTCTGGCGTTGATGTGCAAGGTTGGTTGATATGCTGCTACTTGTACATGTATACAGTACTTGCCACATTCCCCTCGTCACTCACCACTTGCCACATTCCCCTCGTCACTCACCGGCTTTGTGCACTTACCTGTACAGTATTTGTGTGGATGCTGCTTTCTGAATAACTATAAGTCCCTTCGTATGACGTATGCCCCAACAACTCTTGACTCGAGCCAAGTCTGCTTTAGGATCGTCTAAAGTCATGCTGGTTGTTCCCTGCTTCTTCTTACTGAATGTAGAAGTAGTAGCCAGTGCAGGCTGTCGTAATAAAACGACTCATCCGTGTTCCATTCCCGTGCATGGTACATGCATGGTGCGACGGCACAATGACAGCTGTCGCAAATCACACTGAGTATTACACGTGTTTTTTGGTGATTCCTGGTAAGCTGCTAGCTTTTCCCTACTCGAAGATGTTGCCGCCGCGAAATCTGGGGGTTTGTGTTCGTCCTGGCGAAAACCGTGTTTTGATCCGTTGAGGGAGACGAGAGATACAGTGCGAAGACGTACGATCTGTCCGAGAATCGGCGAAGAAGAAAGCTTTGCAGACTACCCGTAGTGGTTGGGAACAGAATGGAACATATACCAGTCGATGCCTGTCATGGTAGGGATGACTGCTACGAAGTTTTAGCCCCATGCTCCCCAGCGCTTTTTAGCGCCCGACGATAATTACCAAATTTCATCGATTTTCCATGTGGATCAAAGCATAGTCTCCTCAATCTTCTCCAGTCGAGCTGAGTCTGGACGCTACAAAGTCGAGACGCGAAAAGAGAACATGCATGAACACACAGGAGCATCACATGCAGCTGCATTCTGCCTTGACGAAGCTGAGAACAACACCAGCACCACGCATTTGGAAGACATTTCAAAGAAGACGAAGAACTACATATCTGCGTTCAAAAAAGCCTCTGTAGACTGTACTGTGTGTGTGCATGCAGTATGCATGCATGCATGCGCGAAGCACGGGGTACCGGGTCCGCGGATCAACTTCGTTCAAAAGTCATTGTGCCACACGGGTTGTATGATTTGTGTGCGATCATGGTCTTTCTTCTTGACAAACAAAAGTGAAGTTTTTCGATCTTCAAATCGCCATAGCGTCCTTGTCATGACTCCAAATCAGATGAAACTTTGCAGGAGGAATGACAATGCCATGCTGAATCGATTGGTACCATTTTCGAAGGGTTTCCTTGAAAAATAAAATTTAGCCTGCACTGGCTAGAAGTAGCGATTCAGGCGTTAATAGTTGGAGAAGGTAGCCTCTCCCAACATGGAGCACATGCGTCATGCCAAATTGACTGACACTTTTCATTGCTTCTGGAAAGTTGGTAGAAGTTCATACAGCAGTTCTCACTACGTTATTTTATATGCTGTGTGTACTGCGTAGGATGCATCGTTTGCCAGTGAGTTTGCAGCCTGCGGTGGACTAAGAACCCTAGCGCTGCGCATCGAGCAACAGTCTGACACGTAAGTGTGATTTCCATATGCAGGTGCAGGGCTGGTTCTTATCTGGCACTGGATGTATAGCAGCATTGTGATCCGGTACATAGTCGCACTGACTGTGATGCATATCAGCGTTGTGATCCATAGCAGCACTGTGATCCATAGCAACACCCTGTGATGCGTTATTACTTATTATGATACGTGCACTTCTGGCGTCCCCACTCAGCCACATGACCCTGTCGAATTCTATTTTTCGCTGATTTTCTCCTTGTATTTTTCGTTGCCTTAGTTGAATTGCATGCCGTACTGGCGAGTTCCCCAAAAGTATCAACCACTACCGGTAGTACTAGTACACTTTTACGGTAACTTTGTACCGTAGCACATCATGGTTTGTCATTTTCTTCTCACCTTTTTTGGTTTACCCGGTGTTAGCGGCCGTCGTGAGTTCCCTTCACGAACGGACACGATAATTTACTTTCTTTTTTTGGTATTCTCTCTCGCTCCTCAAGTGTTTCCTGCCAGTTGGGCAAGAATTCCTTTCAGAATAGTGACACTGTTTCTCCTCTTGAATGTAGGGGCCTGAAGTCGTGAAACCTCCACAACTCACGGTTTGTTACCTCATTCCTCATTTAAATAAAATGTACGCCGGCTCTGGGAATAACATGGCACCCACGGTTTGAATTCCGTTGTTGCGTATGCTACATGGTTTACCCCTTGTATCGTTGTGGCAGTACTCATTATTTCCCTTTGGTCAAATAATAATGATGGTTACTGTTGCTCTTTCTGCCCTCTCTCCTCTCTTGTTAGGTTACTGGAAAACGCTCAGCTTGGCCCAGCATTAACAGCACTGCAGGAGCTTGTTGATAATGGTGGAAATGTCTGGGGTGAACTCACGCCCAGTCTTGTTGCAAAAGTAAGCATTTCCAGTTCAACCTAGAGTGCCTAGTCGAGCGTATGAAACTGGGAATTTGTTGCTTACGTTTAATTTAATGAGCCATGGGAACGCTGATCTTCAACTGGCACTCTCTCTATCTCTCTCTCTCTCTCCCTCCCTCCCTCCCTCCCTCCCTGGGCCTCGTCCTATGCCTACACGATGGCCTCATATTTCTAGAACTTAATGTCATAGTGTCAGAATCAATGGGTGAATGACCCACGCTGGCCCAACCGATGACGTGTTGTTTGCTGTTGGTTGGCTTTGAGCACAGATACATCTCGGGTTCTTCCTATGTAGAACACTGCGTTCCATGCATGCTTGACGATCGGCCAGGAAAACTTCCGGGGCACCATCCTGACCTATATTCCGTGTGTGTGTGTGTGTGTGTGTGTGTGTGTGTGTGTGTGTGTGTGTGTGTGTGTGTGTGTGTGTGCATGCGTGTGCTCCTCCAGATCTGTAGCTACGTTGTTAGTTCCAATCCGGATGCTTTGATAATGTCCAAGTCACTAAGCATACTGGAGTCAGTTGTATCCAGTAGTAACAAGTGAGTAATACATGTGCTCCTGTAGCTGATTGCTCTAGGATTATATTTATCTTGATGAGTTTACCTGGCAAGCTATTGGAATACCGGTATTATTATTATTATTATTCACACATATCCGCCGGATGAGTACGCGTGGCCCATGCACCATGGGGACCCACGAATACAAACCAGCATATGTTCCCTCAGCATACCGGTATGCATTGAAAGAATAAAAGCCCCTCTTGAATAGAATCCTCCTCTAAATTGGCATAGGACAAATATATCCCCCGGCTTCTAATCGAGTGAGTACAGTAACCCCTGTCCAGCTGACTCTGCACTGCATACACCACAGGTTGGTAGTTATAGTATACTCGTACACATGCACGGTGGAACATCACAACAACAGATCTCAACGGACAAGACACGCCTGTGCTGAACAAGGAAACGTCCTGATTGTAAACTGTAGTACTGTAAAACCGGAAAATTTCGGTGAAGATTTATTTTCGGTAATTTCGGGTAATTTTTACCTAAAATAAAACGCACCGAAAGTACATGCATGCCAACTGCAGTACGGAAAACTGGTTTACCGAATAGTTCGCGTCACCGAACCATTGATTTTGTAAAATACCGAAAAATATTTCACCGCCGAAAATTCCCGGTTTTGCAGTATTCTGTGATTGAGGGCAGTTACGACTGGAAGAATGTGTGCTGACTTGACTATACACATGCGTGTGTCCGCCAATGCAGGTTCTACTGCAGCGCACCTGGCAAAGGAAGCATTGATGTATGCTCTTTCATGTTGCACTGCCTTCCATTCGCCCCAACTGACCAGTGACCTTTGTGTCTATGTGCGCGTGATACTGTGTGTCTGTGTGTGTGCAGTGCTTCACTCATTAAGGTGGTGCACGACAAAGTGACCATCCAAGAAATAGGCAAACATTTGCAACAAACAAGGTAATTTTGAGGTCCCGCTGCTCTGGTACCTCAAGTGTGAGGCTTGATTGTACATGTTGTAGTCTTCATCTATGTGTTCCAGTTTGTTCCAGTTTGTTCCAGTTTGTTCCAGTGTGTTCCAGTTTGTTTGTTTATAGGCACCTGATTTCCATGTCCGGTCAAGTTGACTTGTGAAAAATTCTATGGGTACTTTCTTCATGTTCTTGCCCCATGCGCAGTAGTTTATTGTTATCGCGCTGATGCCTTGAAGATCGGAGAAATGTTGTCTGCTTCTCATGAGCATATTGCACTGCAGAAACTGCAGAAACTAGACTAACAGTTAGCTGTGGCAGTAATGTTCCTAGTGTTAGTCTACCTGCTGTAGCTAGTTGTGAATTACTCTCTGTCAGAGGGCTTGTCTCAAGAGGGTGTGTGTGTGTGTGTGTGTGTGTGTGTGTGTGTGTGTGTGTGTGTGTGTGTGTGTGTGTGTGTGTGTGTGCGTGTGTGTGTGTGTGTGTGTGTGTGTGTGTGTGTGTGTGTGTGTAGTAGTAGTAGTAGCTGTATGGTGTAGACCAGGCTGAATAGTTACGGTCAATTCTTCAGCCTTGCAAGCTGTTGAATGGTGCAATCCCAGCACAAGTTGCTATGGCTTCTGCCGTAGCATTGCTATCATCGCTTCCGGCGATGGGTGTCAAACGGTCAAAGGTCAAAAGGTGTGTGTGTGTGAGAAAAAATGGAAAAATGAAAAATAGGGATTCACTGGCCAGAAAAAGTCACTTCAATCAGCTGTGTGGTGGATACTACAATTATAGGCTACAAATAGTGGCGGTCAATTAAAATAGTGGCGGTCAATTCATCAGCCTTGCAAGCTGTTGAATGGTGTAATCCCAGCACAAGTTGCTATGTCTAACATAGCTGTTCGCTATCACCGCTTCCGCGATGGGCAGGTCTAAGGTCTGAGGTGTGTGTGTTGCTTTTCTTCGCTTCACCGCAGTGACTTGGATCGCAAGGTGAATGCGCTGGGAGTATTGAATGCGCTAATGATGCGAGCGAGTATCTCCGAGCGCCAAGACCTGCACAAGGACGCGTGCAGCTTCCGTCTTAGAGAGGCACTGTACAATGTAAGTTGCCTGCCTCTTCCATTTCTCTATGCGAGATACAGACATCCTTTGTGATCTTGCTGGTGTCCTGGAATAGTTGCACGTGCTTTGCTCACAACCAGATTCAGACGTGTTGACGAATGTCTTTGCACGATTGCTGCACTTCCTGGGCAGTGGCGCCTGGTCTACTGTTAGGTGTGCCATGTGTATGTGTGTACAGTAATGTCGGGTGCCGAAGAACTGGGGGTCAGCCTCGAAGCATGGACCGTTCTTATTTTCATGTATAACGGTCTATGCGCAGTAGGGTCACCTTGCATTATAT